AATTATGTTCAATTATGTTTCAACTTTTCTTGAAAATTCCCTACTGATTCATCTGTTTACAATAGATATAAAGTAAAACTTCAAATAAGCACTTAAAATATTACCGGAACGTTAGTATCCAACTCAATAATCTTATCTTCTGAAGGTGAAGATTCAGTGTATTCCTTAAATTCCTTCTCTAACTTCTCAGTTTGCTTTACACTCATAGGTTTCCATCTTGCCTTCTTCTTGGTCTTTGTCTCCCAAACCACATCAGAACTTATATATAAAAGCAAAAATCACAGTACTAGTTTATAAACATTCTCCTTTAGACAAGTTTATGACATGAATTACAATATATACAGTAAAATTTTGTAATGGTCTCAATTACATACAAGCACATGATAATTTAAAAAACAAAAATTCATTCAACTAGTATTTACTGAACTTCTGCTACGACCAGGCACTAATCTAGGTAGCAGGGATATATCACTGAACATCTCTGCCCTTCTGGAGTTTCATTCTAGCTGGAGAGTGACAGAAGATAAATGTTGTTATTGTTATGTGCCGTCAAGTCGAACCTGATCATAGCGACCCCTCCTTGGGTTTCCGAGGTGGTATAACTACGGAAGTAGATTGCCCAACCTTCCTTCCAAGGACTGGCTGGTGGGTTTGAACCACCAGCCTCCTGGTTAGCAGTAAGTGCTTTACATACTACACTAACATAATAAATTAATAAGTTTAATATAGTAGTAGGTGAAGATGCATTTGAAAGAAGAAATAGTAGAAAGGGTAAGGGGGATCTAGAGTATTGGGATATGTGAATTGGAACAGAAAGGTTGGGAAATGTCTTATTTATCTTTGCATTCAAATCACATAGCAAAGGAGACAGTACATAATAATAGGTGTAAAAATACCTCCAAAAAAACACCTTCGCTGCCACTGAATCAATCCCAACTCAAAGAGACCCCCATTGGGTTTCTGAGGCAGTAAATCTTTATGGAAGTAAAATGCCCAACCTGCCTTCTGAAGAGGGGCTGGTAGGTTTGAACCACCAACCTTTTGATTAGCAATCAAAATGCCTTAAATCAATTTCCTTATTTGACCTTTTTATTTACATAATAAACATTTGTATTTTTAAAATAGTAATAAAAATTTCTTAAAATTGTTTTTAAAATTCCTTTTAAAATGGTACTGGTTTTACTTAAAGAGAATCAGACATTTATAGTTAGATAAATTTACATAAATATTAAACTTAAATCTAGATCATACCTTTAATATACATTATTTCTTTGACCTTTTAACTCAAGCACAGGATTCAAGCAACATTATGCTGTTTATATAAGTGGAAGAAATGGTCTCAAATTTATTCATGTGTTTATAAATAAGAACAAGGGCATAAAGGGAGAGAAAATAGTATTACAGTTGACTTCTTAGACAGGGAATGTAAATAAGTACAGTAGTACCTTATTGGGTCTGAAAGTGCCATGGTCAAGCCAGAAAGTGATTGTGTTTACTGTCAATTCCCCAACAACTGCTTAAGGTGCAACTATAGTATACACTGTGCTAGGTGGTGATGGACATTAAGCATTTTTTCTATGACATGTTAAATAAAGTATTACTTTTCATAAGTTGAATAAACATAACTTTCAAGAGAACTGAGAGGATTAACAACATAATGAAGGATTCAAATACATTTAAATTCTGACATTTCATTATTTCATAAGGCCAAAAATTTTTTTCTCAGCACTTTTAAGTAAGCATTATCTCTGTACTAATGAACAGTCAAAAAGAAAAATTTAAACTAAATTACTTTAAATTTCACAATCATGATTTCTTAGTAATTAAGAACTGATCATTTAAATGTATGCAAATCTTAATTTATCTAACCTTGTAATGCCGATATAGGCTACTTCTTGTTTTGTGTAATTGTTGACAAGAGAAATTCCAACATCTTGTAATGCCAACACAATTTCTTGCTCTGCTAACTCTGCTTTCTCACTTTCATATGTTACTTTAAATACCCTTGGGTCTTCAGTGAATAAAATAATGCGTTGTAAGCCTTCAAAGAATGAAACTAAATAAATGGTCGTTTTCCCCATATTTATAGGTGTCATCATATCCTAAAACAAAACAATGAAAATATTAAAAATACAGTTTGACCACTAGATTACATATTTCAAAAATGAAAATAATAAGGGCACCTACTTCATAGGGCTGGAGCAGCAACTAAAATGAATTTGTATATGTACAATACTTGGGAATTCACATCATAATCATTTGATGTTAGCTACTGCTATTATATGAAGCTATTAATTAGAAAAACAAGTCAAATGTTTAAGTTCCTTCAATATTTTAATAAAAGCTATCTAACAGTCTTCCTTTGTGGATTTATTTATAATAAAATATACAATTTTCTCTGCTTTAACTTAACAAATGTGCTATGTGTTAAAGGTTGTTTCAGTCTCAAATTTCTATTTCCTTTCAGAGCTGAATAAGAAATAGGATAAAAAATATCTGCCTGCCAGCTCATGTGCCTGCTCTGAAAAGCATTAATTACATTATGAAAGCAGGAGAAAGTCCTTACGTGAGCACTGTACTGATATAAGGATCTTAAAGTTCAGTGACAAGACAAACGGCAATATTTAACAATGAGCCATGAATTTTTGGTTACTCACATACTCTGATTAACAGAAAATTATATAGTAACATTGATGCTACAATTCACAAAAATTAAAACTTGAAACATAACCATAAAATCAGTATCTAAGAATATTAATGTTATTTAAATACTCTCTATACTAAAATATACAGCATTAAAACTCAATGGAACTAATTTCTTATTTCCAAATAATTCAAAAGTTTTTCTAACATCTTGTAGTGAATTTCAGATTGTAAACCTGAATTATCATGATGATACAAATACAAAAAGCACTGACAGACTATTTAGTTTTACATTCAAATACATATTTTTCTGAGTAAATCTAATATATAAGAATTAAAATATGTAAGAGAGGTCAACTACAGGTAACGCTATTAAATAAATTTAAAAACCAAAATTCAAACCCTCCTGGGCTCCTTAACCACAACACTGGAAGACAATGGAAATATATCATCAACATGCTAAGAGCAAATTACTCTGAACTCAAAATTACTTACATAGCAAAAAATATCCTTCCATTCAAAACAGTAGGGAGCTCTAGTGGCATAGTGCCTAAGGCATTTGACTACTAACCCGAAGGCTGGCAATTCAAACCCACCAGTCACTTCTCAGAAGGAAGATTGGGCAATCTACTTATGTAGTGACAGGCCTCACAAACCCAAGGAGGGGTTGCTATGAGTCAGATCCTACTCGACAGCAGTGAGTTTTTTTTTTTTTTTTAAATTCCAAACAGTATACAAAATAAAGATTGTTGTTGTTAGGTGCTGGCCAGTCGATCCCAACTCATAGCAACCTTATGTACCGTAGAACAAAACACTGCCTGTCCTGCGCCATCCTCACAATCTTTGCTAACCCTTAGCCCATTGTTGCAGCCACTGTGTCAATCCATCGTGTTGAGAGTCTTCCCCATTATCTTTCTCTCTCCACTTTACAAGCAGGATACCCGTCTCCAGGGACTGGTCTCTTCTGATCACATGACCAAAATAGATGAGATGAAGTCTGGTCATTCTCAGTTCTAAGAAGCATCCTGGGTGTACTTCTTCCAGGACAAATCTGTTCTTCTGGCAGTCCATGGTATTCCAGTATTCTTCACCAACCCACAATTCAAAGGCATCAGTTTTTCTGTGGCCTTCCTTATTCACTGTCTAGCTTTCACATGGATATAAGGCAACTGAAAATGCCATGGCTTAGGTTAGGTGTACCTTAGTCTTCAAAGTGACATCTCTGCTCTTCAACACTTTAAGGATTTCTTTTGCAGATGTGTCCAGAGCAATATGACATCTGATTTCTTCCATGAGTGCTGACTGTAGATCCAAGTAAAATGAAATCTTTGGCAAATTCCATCTTTTCTTCACTTATCATGATGTTGCCTCTACTTTTACATTTGTGAGGATTTTTGTTTTCTTTAAGTTGAGGTGTAATCCATACTGAAGACTGTAGCCTTTGATCTTCATCAGTAAGTGCTTTAAGTCCTCTTCACTTCCTGAAAGCAAGGCTGTATCATTTACATGTCACAGGTTGTTACTGAGTCTTCCTCCAATCTTGATGCCATGTTTCTCTTCATATTGTCTAGCTTCTCCAATTACTGGCTCAGCACACAGAGTGAAAAATATGATGAAAGGATACAATCCTGATGCACACCACTCTTGATTTTAAACAATTCAGTATTTCCTTGTTCTGTCTGAATGACAGCCTCTTGGTCTATGTACAGGTTCCTTTGTTGTAAAACAAAGGTACTTGCAAGAAATCAAGAAGCCCAGTAGTTAAGCACTCAGCTGCTAACCAAAAAGTCAGTGGTTAGAACCCACCAGAAGCTCTGTGGTAGAAAAATGTGGCAGTCTGTTTCTGTAAAGACTACAGCCTTAGAAATCTTACAGAGAAGTTCTACTCTGTCCTATAGGGTCACTAGGAATCAACTCGATGGCAATGGTTATGGTTAGGTTTTTGGACAGATATAAAAACTACCAAAGTTCACCAGCAACAAAGAGTTAGTCAGGGAAATTATGCACAAGGAATTAGCCAGCAGCAGATACCAATAAAAACTAAGGAAAAAATGAAAAACTACAAAAATACTCAAAAGACATGTAGATACTAGAGTTTCTGAGATATCTGAAGTAACTATGACTAAGACATTCAAGGGATTAAATGACTACAATAAAGAACTTTGGAACAAAAATTTCTAAAATAGAAATTCTAGAAATGAACATTTCAATAAGTGAAATTAAGAACTCAAAGCAAAAATTTAGCAGATTATGCACAGCAAGAAGTATACGGAAGATATAGGTCAGAAGAAAATATCGGTACTAAAGAGAAACCATACAACCATGAACAATACAGAAAACTTTCCTACCACGTAGCATATGATATTTATGTGGTTTTCTGCATTGTAATTATGGAGTTCTAAGGTAAGAGAACCAACACTCATCTGTGAGTCTGTTGTACTGTAGTGGCTTGTGTGTTACTGTCATGCTGGAAGCTATGTCACCAATATTTCAAACAGCAGCAGGGCCACCCATGGTAGACAGGTTTCAGAGCTTCCAGATTAAGACAGACTAGGAAAAAGGACATGGCTAAGTCTATATCTGGAAAAAAAAAAAAAAGTTGGCCACTGAACATCTTATGAATAGCAAGGAAACACTGTGTAACATAGCACCAGAAGATGAGTCCCTCAGGTAAGAAGGCATTCAAAATATGACTAGGGATGATAAAGAAGACTGGGGAAGATGCCTCCTCAAAGTAGAGTATACCTTAATGACATGGATGGAGCAAAGCTTTTGGAACCTTCATTGGCTGACATGGCATGACTCAAAATGAGAAGAAATAGCTGTAATCATCCATTAATCAGAATGTGGAATGTAAGGAGTATAAATCCAGGAAAAATTTAAGTTGTCAAAAATGAAACAGAATGCATAAAGATCAATATCCTAGGCATTAGTGAACTGAAACAGACTAGTATTGGTCATTTTGAATAGGACAATCACATGGTCTATTATGTTGACAATGACATAATATTTAAGAGGAGTGGCATGCCATTTTATCATCGAAAAGAATATTTCAATATCTATCCTGAAGTACAATGCTGTCAGTGACAGGATTATATCCATATATGCCTACAAAGAAGACTAGTTAATATGACTATAATTCAAAGTTATGTACCAACTACTATAGCCAAAGATGAAGAAATTGAAGATTTTACCAACTTCTGCAGTCTGGAATAGATCAAACATGGAAACAAGTTATATTGATAATTACTGGTGACTAGAATGTGAAGGCTGAGAACAAAGAAGCAGCATCACTAACTAGAAAATATGGTTGTGGTGATAGAAATTATCCTGGAGATCACATGATAGAATTTTGAAAGACCAACAGCTTATGTATAGCAAGTAACTTTTAAATAACATAAATGGCAACTATACATGTGGACCTCACCAGATGGAATACACACGAATCAAATTGAACACAACTATGGAAAGAGGTGATGGAGAAGATCAATACCATCAGTCAGAACAAAGCCAGGGGCTGACTGTGGAACAGACCATCAATTGCTCATGTGCAAATTTAAGTTGAAGCTGAAGAAAATTAAAACAAGTCCACAAGAGCTAAAATATGACCTTGAGTATATTCCACCTAATTTAGAGGCCATCTAAAGAAGATAACCTGAAGTGACGAAGACCTGATGAGTTGTGGGATGACATCAAGAACATCATAAATGAAGAAAGCAAAAGGTCATTAAAAAGATAGGAAATGAAGACCAAAATGGATGTCAGAAGAGACTCTGAAACTTGCTCTTGAAAGGTGAGTAGATAAAGCAAATGAAAAAAATGATGAAATAAAATGTCTGAACAGAAGACTTCTCAAAGGGCAGCTTGAGAGAACAAAGTAAAGTATTAGAATGAAATGTGCAAAGACCTCAGCATTTCTCAAAATGAAAGAAATGAAAAAAATTCAAGCTTCAAATTGCAATAATGAAGGATTCTATGGGCAAAATATTGAGTCACGAAGGAAGCATCAAAAGAAGATGGAAGGAATACACAGAGTCATTATACCAGAAAGAACTGATCAATGTTCAACCATTTCAGGAGGTAGCATATGATCAAGTACCAGCGTACTGAAGGAAGAAGTCCAAGCTGCACTGAAGGAATTGGTTTAAAAAAAAAAAAAGGCTCCAGGAATTGACAGAATGCCCACTGAGACGTTCAAACAGATGCAGTACTAGAGGTGGTCACTCTCTTATGCCAAGAAATTTGGAAGCTAACCTGGCCAACTGATTGGAAGAAACCCATATTTGTATCCATTCCAAAGAAAGGTGATGCAACAGAATGTGGAAATTATCAAATAATATCATTAACATCACATGCAAGTAGAATGTTTCTGAAGACAATTAAAAAATGATTGCAGCAGTACATTGATAGGGAGCTGCTAGAAATTCAAGCCAGATTCAGACGAGGACATGAAACAAGGGATATCACTGCTGATGTCATATGGATCTTGGCTGAAAGCCAAGAAAACCAGAATGATGTTTACTTGTCTGCCAATAACAAGCATACTGCCAGCAAATTTGATTGACTATGCAAAGGCACTGGATGTGTGGATCATAACAAAATATGGGTAACACTACGAAGAATGGCAATTCCAGAATACTTCTGTGGTACAGTGAATTACTTGGTATAGCTCTTTTAGCCATGGTCTCTGTGACACCCATAAGATGAATGGTGGAACTATGTAAATGCGAAGTGCTTGTAGCCCACCAAGGGAACTGGACAGCATACTAATAATGCAAACAAGGTACACTGCATCCTTGTGGGGGTGGGACCATGGGAATAAGGTAAATGGAAAACTAATGCTTTGTTGGTCAGTTCTGTTATCCCACTAGGCTTAAAATGAGCCCTCCCAGAGGCAGAAAGGGAGATCTCACTACCATCAAGAAAGCAGAGCTGGAAATGGAGTAGAGCTCATCCTTGTACCCAAGATCCCTGTGTGAGATGGTGATGGCAGCAGTAGCAGCAGAACTGAGAGACTGGAATGAGACATAGCGGTAGGCTTGCTGGCACATGGAGTGAGAAAGCTCTGTGTCTTTGGGGAAGAAGCTTGCTGGCAGTATGCTTGTTATTGGCAGAGCTGAAAGAGCTTGGCAACATTTGTCTGAGCAAAGCAGAGGCCCAGCCAAGACCAAGGGCCAGAGAGGCATGCCTGAGGGCATAACAGAGGAGAGACTGTCCTGATGGAAGAACTGTATCCTGAGCACATTCCTGACCCTAAATTGTAACCTGTTACTTCTCTAATAAACCCCATAATCATGAGCATTGTCTGTTGAGTTCTGTGTGGCCACTGCAATGAATTATCAAAACCAGCAGAGAAGTAGAGTGTGGTGGGCAGGATGGTTGGTGTCAGAGTTGGTAAAAAGGTTGGAGGTTGGTGGCATGTCTGACTTTCGCCTCACAGCAATAAGCTTTAGGCTACTGGTGTTGCTCTTTCTCTGTCCCCTTTGTGAAGTTGGAAGAGGTCAGAAGAGAATGCTATCCCTATTCCTTGTATGTAAATTGACTGTGCTCATGAGGAATTTTACACAGATCAAGCAGCAGTTGTTCCAATGGAACAAGGGGATACTGCATGGTTTAAAATCAGGAAAGCTGTGAATCAAGGTTGTAATCTTTCATCATACTTATTCAATCTGTATGCTGAGCAAATAATCAGAAAAGCTGAATTATATGAAGATCATGGCATTGGGATTGTAGAAAGACTTTTAACAACCTGTGATATGCGGGTGACACAACCTTGCTTGTTGAAAATGAAGATGACTTGAAGCACTTACTGATGATGGTCAAAGACTACAGCCTCCAGTATGGATTACACCTCAACATAAAGAAAACAAAAATTCTCATAATAGAACCAATAACCAACATCATGATAAATGGAGAAAAGACTGAAGTTGTCACGGATTTCACTTACTTGGGTCCACAATCAATACCCATGAAAGCAGCAGTCAGAAAGCATCTACAAAAGATCTTTTTAAAGTGTTAAGAAGCAAAGATACCACTTTGAAGACTATGGTACACCTAACCCAAACCATGGTATTTTCAAATAATCATCTATAATCATCTCATATGCATGTGAGAGCTGGCAGTGAATAAGGAAGACCACAGAAGTATTGATGCTTTTGAATTGGCAAAGAATATTGAAGGTAACATGGACTGCTAAAAGAACAAGCAAATCTCTCTTGGAGGAAGTACAGCCAGAAGGTTCTTTAGAAGCAAGAATGGCTAGACTTTGTCTCTCATACTTTGGTCATATTGTCAGAAAGGACCAGTCTGTGGAGAAGGATATCATGCTGGGTGAAGTACAGGGTCAGCAAAAAAGGGGTTAGACCTTCAATGAGATGGACTGACACAGTGGCTACAATAATGGGCTCAAGCATGGCAATGATTATGAAGATGGTGCAGGACTGAGCAGTGTTTCGTTCTGTTGTATACAGAGTCACTATGAGTTAATACCAACTTGACAGCACCTAACTACAACAACAAGGAATAAGAAAGGAGCCCTGGTAGCACAATGGTTAAAACACTTGGCTGCTAACAGAAAGGTTGGTGGTTTTGAACCCATCAGCCACTTTGCGGGAGAAAATATCTGATGATCTGCTCCAGTGAAGATTACAGCCTATGAGACACTATGAGCACATCAGGTTGAGTGCAACCAACTTGATGACAACCAACAACAAGGTAAGAGAAAGAGAGAAGTACAAGCAATATATGAAGAGAATTTTCCAAACCAGAAAAAGGACTAAAAGCCACTATTTCAGGAAGTACAATAATCAGGAAAATAAATACAGAGAAAATCATAGCTACTAAATTTGTTGAAACCCAGTGAAAAGTGATGAAACTTATAGATTTACTATTATTGCTAGATACATGCTCAACAAAGTAATCATATTTCTATATACTATCAATAAACTATTAAAAATGAAATAAAACCACTATTATTAATAAGAGCATTAAATATATATATATATATATATATATATTAATTTGGGAATAAATATAACAAAATATGTTTAACCTCCACAAAGAAAATTCAAAAACATCAAAAATACCTATATAAATGAAGAGGTATGTTCATAAATTAGGATAGTTACTATACTTAAATGTCAGAACTCCCAAAATTTATCTACAGAAAAAGTCCAATCAAACTTCCAGTAGATATATTTTTGGAAATTGTCAAACTGATGCTAAAATCTGTACAGAAATGATAAATGCCAAGAATAGCTAGTATAATCTTGAAAAAATAAATGTAGGTTAAAGGCTTACACTACTATATCTAAAGCTTTATAAAATTACAGTTACTAAGACGGTGTGGTACTGACCAAAGGAGAGACAACTAGACCAATGAAACAGAATGGAGAGTCCAGAAAAAGACTCATATATAAAAGGACATTTGGCTCCTGACAAAGGTGGCACCAGGGAACAGTAAAGAAAGAACTGACTTCTCTTCAGTAAATGGTGCTGTGTCATTTGGCTATTCATATGGGGAAACAAAACTTAAGTGCTATTTCATATTAAACCAAAAATCACCTTCTAGGTAGTAGAATGAAGGACCAAGAACAGCCAAGGTGCCTTTTAACCTCTGCTCAATATCATCAGTCAGAACAAAGCCAGGACCGCACTGTGGAACAGACCAGCAATTTTTCATATGCAAATTTAAGTTGAAGCTGAAGAAAATCCACGAGAGTCAAAATACAACCTTGAGGGTAACACATCTGAATTTCGAGATCATCTGAAGAATAGATTTGATGCATTCAATACCAATGACTGAAGACCAGATGAGTTGTGAGAAGACATCATGGACATCATAATGAAGAAAGCAAAAGGTCATTAAAAAGACAGGAAAGGAAGAAAAGACCAAAATGGATGTCAGAAGAGACTCTGAAACTTGCTCTTGAATGGAGAGTAAGTAAAGGGAATGTAAAGAGATGATGAAATAAAAGAGCTGAACAGAAGATTTCAAAAGGTGGCTCAAGAAGACAAAGTAAAGTATTATAATGCAATGTGCAAAGACCTGGAGTTAGAAAATCAAAAGGGACAAACACACTCAGCATTTTCATGCTAAAAAACTCTGAGCTGGATCTGACTAGAGGGCAGTGAGTTTGGTTTTTTGGTTTTATATCTTGAAAGCGATCTACTAAGGACACCCCATACAGGAATTCTGCCCCATTAACATAAGAAAATAACTCATTCCCAACTGGGATTATAACCATAGACAAACAGGTTCAAAAAACAAACATTTTGGAGGACACAATTCAGCTCATAACAGCAGTACTGAAGCAAAAAAACCTGAAGAAAAAAATTCAATCCTCAAATTGCAATACTGAACATTCTATAATAGAATAAAATACAAATTCTTAGGATTTTTAATAAAATGAACAAATGCAAAAAATAAAAGTCAGTCCTAAGTTTCAAAAGTCTTTCTCTAAGAGCTCCCTGTTCCAAAGATAACATTTAGAGAGAACTGCTGGCTTATGTAGAGGCAGAAAAAAAATAATAACTAGAGTAAGAAAGTAACATTGGATTAGGAGACAAGTTAAGGCAAAATTTGAAGGACAAGTAAAATTTTAATAAAACAAATTCTGACAGTCTTTAAAAAATGTTTACACATAACTTTATCATCATAACAAATAAATCAAAAAGAAAACAGCCAGCTATCCAGAAACAAATTCTGTACATTTAAGCCAGTTAATTCCTAAACATTTCTCAAAAAAAAAAAAAAAAAAAATCCAAACACATTGTTCTAGAGTCGATTCTGATTCCTGGCGAGCCTACAGGACAAAGTAGCACTGGCTCCCAAGGTTTATAAGGCTGTGATCACTACAGGAGCAGATTGACCAGGCTGATCTCTTGAAGAACAGTCAGCAGCCCCTAACCTCTGATCCTTCAGTTAGCAGCTGAGCAGCTGGGCAGTGTAATCCTCCTAAAGGTTTCTAACGGTTCCTTAAATCCACTACATGGATGTCAATGCAAAGAAGACATCTGCTCATGAGGTTAAATGCTGAAGCGCTTCTCTAAGCAAAGCTTTGTCTTCATAACAAAGTAGAAATAGATCATGCTGTAGATTTAAAAGAGAAGAAAAAAGACTTTCTAGTTTTTTAAACATTTTTGGTAATAATAAAGCTTGAATATTGCTCTTTAAATCTTAGGGTTTTTTGTTTTTTTTTTGAGGGGGGTAAGTGTAGGTACAAATCAGCCCTAAAAAAACAAGCAAGAACATACCTTAAAAACAGAAAGCTTCTGAGAACTTCATAATCAACTTGGTACTTACATCCTTTTGTGTCACTTCACCGTGGCTTTTTCCACATTTCCACTTCAGCTTCCTAGAGCCCACTGGATCAGCCCATGTATAAAACACTGCTTTGCCAGGAGGGAGGGAGTCTTCTATTTGACTGAGAGAACTGACACAAGTAGTAAAAATTTGCATTAAATTAAATACAGGTATATGGATAGATAAAAAATTCAAATTAATACTTGGTTAATTCTTACTCCATTAATTGAGATTTATGTAAGACCAGGCTGAAATTTTTTCTTCATAACGAAAAAGGGGTTTCTTAAGAAAAAGATTTAAATATTTAAAGGAAATATTTATGCTACTTGGAAAATAAAGGCTGAGTCTTTGAAACTAGTTTGTTAAATTTTCAAGTATAAATTAATTATGCAAGAAATTTATTTCCTGTTTTGCCTATACTAAATGTAAGAGGATTTAATTGGTAATGCTTTCCTAAGTTTTGGTCTTTCTGTAACAAAACAATACAGCTCAGTTACTTTTAAACGCCAGGAGACATGGTATGCAAATTTAAAATACTCAATCAATTAACTGAAAGATTCCTAGAAAGGAAAAAAAAATAGAGAAGGTAAATAATGAAGTGTAACTTTCCTGAGCTCAAGAAGGAACTGAAACTACAGATTCAGAGTTCACTGAGTATCAGACAAAATTAATGAAAATAGAATTCTGTCCTAGACCTACCTTTGTAGAATGTTTAAATTTAAGAAAGTAGAAAAAAACAACTCCACAAAAAAATAATATTTATCCAGAAAGAAATAAAAATGAGGAGAAAGATTATGACTAAAGTTTTTATGTCAAGTTGTCATTAATTTGTAAGAATCAAAAATCCATTGTTCAACTGATTTCTGCTTGAAGTAGACTTGCCTCACAGGGTTTCCAAGGCTGTAAATTTTTAAATCTGTAAATCTTTATAGAAGAAGACTGCCACATCTTTCATTCCTTGATGAGGCTGGTGAGTTCTATTGAATTCACTGCAAAATATTCCTTATGAATAAATGGGCTATCTAGGTAGGGAATGGAATTCAAAGAAAACAAACTAAATCATGGTCCTTAGAATGGTAACTATGTACATGTACAAGTCTTAACCTCTTAAGAAATGACAATATGATATAACAAAGCTATAATCCATGTATGCAAAGGAGTTAGGGAAGATTGGGAGTGTAGGCTGGGATAGTGAGATAAAGAATTCAATAGGAGTAGCAGAAAGTTACACATATAATACAGGTTTAAAACAAAAACAAAAACACGAAGGACCCAGAGCATTCAGTAAAAAAAAAAAAAATTGTCTTAAGCACAGACTAAGATCTAAGCAACAGAAAAAGAAGATTTTAGACAGGTGGCCTAGAAGATTTTTATTTTGAAAGATATATCACAGCAAATTGAAACAAATATGTTAAGAGAAGTACTGAATCATCAAGATCCAATTATGATCCTTAAGACAGCTAAGGGAGCTCTGGTAGCATAGTCGCTAAGACACTTGCCTGCTAACCAGAGGGCTGGCGGTTCAAACCCACCAGCCACTCCTCGGAAGGAAGGTTGGGCAATCCTACTTCTGTAGTAATACTGCCTCGGAAACCCAAGGAGGGGTCGCTATGAGTCGGGGCCGACTCGACAGCACATAACAACAACAACAACAACAACAAGGCAGCTAAAAGTGTAGCAATTTTTTCCCACACACCTCAGTAAGAAGGTTTGAAATAAATCTGAAGTGTCAATCTTTACATACTGATATTAAAAATATGAAAAATTTCAAGCATACATAAAATTCTGAGACTGATGATAAACTCTAATATATTTCTTGCCACCTTCAACAAGTTTCAAGCTTTTGCCACACTTGCTTAAGCATTCTCCTTTTCCTTTCTTGTTTTGTTTGAAACATTTAAAAGTGAATTCTATTAAACAAAGAATTACCATAACTCAGCAATTCCACATGTTGGTATATTTCCCCAAAAATTGAAAACAAATATTCAAATAGTGTATAGACTGCATATTCATAGCAACACTATTCATAATATCCAAAAGGTGGAAACAATCCAAATGTCTATCAATGAATAAATGAATAAACAAATGTGGTACATATATAGGCACTCTGGTGATACACTGGTTAAAGTGCTTGGCTCGAAACTGAAAGGTCAGTGGTTTGAACCCATGAGCTGCTCCGTGGCGGTAAGATGAGGCAGTCTGCTTCTGTAAAGATTTACAGTCTTGGAAATCCTAAGGGGTGGTTTTACTCTGTCCTATAGAGTTGCTATGAATCAGAATTGGCTTCATAGCAATGGATTTAATGAGGTTTTGGTACATACTTACAATGAAATATTATTTATCCAAAACAGAGAATGAAATACTGATACATGGTATAACATGGATGAACCTCAAAAGCATTATGTTAAGTGAAAGAAGCCAGACACAAAATGACAGATACTGAATGATTCCACTTATATGAAATATCTAAAATAGGTAAACCCATAGAAGCAGAACATAAACAGGTGGTCGCCAGGGAAAAGAGGGAAACTGTTTAATAGATGCAAGGTTTGATTTTGGAGTGATAGAAATAGTTTGGAAGTAGGCAGCTTGTGGTTACACACCGTTATTTTGAATATACTGAATACTACTCAATTGATCACTTTCAAATAGTTTTTGTTATATGAATTTCACCTCATTTGAAAAAAAAGGAAATTCTAGATGTATCATGTCATTTTTATCCCTAGATACTTCAGTATATATTTCTTTAAAAATGAAGATGTTGTTTTACATAGTCATTACCAATGTTTATATTCTTAAGAAATCATCAAAAAGTCAATGTCTCTTCACCTAAACTGTACAAAATTTAGGAGTTACTATATTTTTAATGGGAGCTCTTGTAGCATAGTGGCTAAGACACTTGCCTGCTAACCAGACAGCTGGCGGTTCAAACCCACCAGCCACTCCTCGGAAGGAAGGTTGGGCAATCCTACTTCCGTAGTGATACTGCCTCAGAAACCCAAGGAGGGGTCGCTATGAGTCAGGTATGACTCGACGGCACATAACAACAACAACATATTTTTAATAGGACCTCTAGTGGCTCAGTTCCTAAGGCATTTGACTGCTAACCAGAAGGTTGGCAGTTCAAACCCACCAGCTGCTCAGCAGAAGGAAGTGAGGCAATCTACTTCCATAAAGATTTACCACCTTGGAAAACCCACTGGGGTCCATGGGGATTACTATGAGTTGGAATTGACTCAGTGGCAGTTAGTTTGTCTTTGTCATATTTATGATAATTTTCTTACCTTTGCTTATATTGAACAACATCATTCTTGGTGTGATTTATTAACAGAAAAGGAGCTGCTCCATCATGATAATCTGAAAATGTAATAACTGTAGAATGCTCAGCCAAATTAACTTCTGCTATAATGCCTCCAAGCTAGAAGAAAAGATTCTTTAGTGTGATTATTTTCCCTACAAATATTAATTAGTAACATTAAATAATAAAACTATTCCTAACTTATAATTTAATAATTTTCTAATAATTTAGGGAGAAATCTAGCATTTTGCAATGCATGCCTGAATTACCATCAATCTTTAATTGTTGCATGCAGACAGGAAAAATCACAAACACGGCATATTCTAGTATTCTAGGCACTCCAACTAACTTTTTGTTTAACAACTATTTAATGTCTCTGTTTCTTACTGGTACCTTTTTCATCTATAAAAATAAATGTTCACTCATTTCTGATGATGGGAAAAAACAACCAAAGATAATAATTTGAGATAAAGAAAAAAGATACTAATAGGTATAGATTAGCTTCTCTAATGACACACACACACACACACACACACAAAATCACTCACCTCATTATCCAGATGCAACAAAATACAATTTTCTTGCTTGTTAAAATATATCTTTTTGGGAGGATCTTGACTTCTTTCAACTTGAATAAGTAGTTTATGAGAAGCATCCTCAGGCCAAAATGGGATACACTAAAAGATAGATAGATAGACAGACAGACAGATAGATAGATGGATGGATGGATGCACATATATAGGTCATTTTTAAAAAAAAAAAAAAGATTTCACTATAAATATCTGTAACATTTTAATAAATCCATCAGAGTAGACTTAAATTTTTCAAAAAATGTCTTTTCAACACTTCTCTGATTATTGGTACTAAACAGCTATAAACTGTCAAGAAGAGGTGAGTTGTCTCATTTGTAGGTTCTCTGAATACCAGCAGCAATGGGTAGTAAGCTGAAGAGCTATGGTAAGCAGTGTACTGGGGAGGAAAAAGACTTTAATGTGGTCCAGAAAAAAAGAAGACTCCAAAAGCTAGTATGTAAACCAAGAATTAAACTCAGTGGATCAGTTCAAAACAAAGGAACATTCAGGTTCCAAAAATCAAACTCAGGCTGTGGATAGTATGTGATTATTAAGCAGAAATAAAAAAATTAAAAAATGTCAAGAGTCAGGACATAGATTAAATCTAGACTTCTGGTCATCAAATAAGAGCAAAAAATTAAGTAAGTACTCAAAGGTCAGAGGAGGAAACAGAACAAGAATTTTAAGGAACAACCTGGACATCAGTGACCTGGAAAACAAACTGAACAAATAGGAAAGAGTCAAGGCATCTATCAAGAAGACTGGACAACATGCTCTGGAAGCAAAGAAAAGAATTAAAACAAGAGGAAGAGAGCCAACCTTTCCTCTTCTAAACTATTGTTAATTTTGCTCCAGTGTGACAGCCCCTAACCACTGGTCATTTTATGTATTTTAATGCAACTATACATGGTGGCGTAGTGCCGAAGGCATCTGACTGCTAACCAGAAGCCTGGCAGTTCAAATCCACCAGCCACTCCTCAGAAGGAAGGTTGGGCAATCTATTTCCATAGTGATACTGCCTCGGAAACACAAGGAGGAGTCTCTATGAGTCAGCAGTGAGTTTGGTTTTGAGAGTTATACATACATGATGTATGATCATCACTATATGACCTGGGACAATGTGACAGAAAAGAAATTAGATCCAAGTGCATTAGCTTGTTTAATGTAATTTTATTCAACCTACAAAGTTAATTATACAACTAGACAAAGGACATAGTTAAGGATATACAAAGCTTTAGATGTTCTCAATTAGGGCTTCTACAACCTAGAAGGAACTTACTATAAGCAAAGGCAAAACAGCAGCATGTTTTCCAAACATATTTCTCCTGAGGAAGTGAGAAGATGTGCTCTCTGGACACCCACAAGTCTGTTATTTCCTGGAAGCCTTAGCTAAAACATGCATCTTTGATGTTTAGTAATAGCTTACTAAACTAATAGTTCAATTATTTTTTTAAGAATTATGTGCTAGACTCTTGAGACTCCTCTGAGTCCTTATGCTAGGGAAAAAGTCAATCCCCAAAGTAGTTTTCCCAAAAAGTATAAAAACCAAACCTAACTCATTGCCATCGAATTGGATCCCACTCATAGTGACCCCTCCTTGAGTTTCCGAGGTGTTATCACTATGGCAGTAGATTGCGCAACCTTCCTTCTGAGCAGTGGCCTAGTGGGTTTGAACTGCCAGCCTTCTGTTTAGCAGTCAAATGCTTTAGGCACTACACTGCCAAAGCTCTTAGGCAACTATAGGTAAAGTAAAAATAAGCCATTAGTGGAAAAATTAAGGCAACAAAAAGAAGGTCAGAGTTGAGGTTAACAGTGACAAATTAATTATACACATATATTTATTGCTGTTGTTGTTGTTGTTGTTATTTGCCATCGAGTCGGCCCCGACTCATAGCGACCCCTCCTTGGGTTTCCGAGGCAGTATCACTACGGAAGTAGGAATGCCTAACCTTCCTTCCGAGGAGTGGCTGGTGGGCTTGAACCGCCAGCCTTCTGGTTAGCAGTCAAGTGCCTTAGGCACTATGCTACCAGAGCTCCTTATTGCTAGTCCTTCTGAAAATGCCATTCGAATGAAGCAAAGGAATATAATAAGCATAAACATACAAGGAGAACAACAAAGCTCAGGAAGTAAAAAACTCAGGTACAATGAAGTACAGAAGATGGAGTGGTAATGAAAATATGGTATTGACTGAGATTCAGATAAAGCTCCTCAGATCCCGAGGCAAAACTATTTCCTTTCTGTGGTCCTTTGTCTTGTTGTTGTTGTCAGGTGCCGTCAACTCATCTCCGACTCATAGTGACCTCGTGTACAACAGAATGAAACTGCCCAGTGCTGTACCAGCCCCATGATCCTTGTTATATCTGAGCCCATCATTGCAGCCACTGTGCCAATCCATCTCGTTGAGGGCCTCACCCTTTTTTTTTTGTCCCTCCACTTTGCCAAGCATGATATCCTTCTCCAGGGAATGGTCCCTTCTGACAACATGACCAAAGTAGGTGAGATGAAGTTTGGCCATTCTCGCTTCCAAGGAGCATTCCAGCTGCACTTCTTCAAGGCCATATTTTTAGTTCTCTTAGCAGTCCATGGTGCTTTCAGCATTCTTCGCCAACAGCACAACTCAAAAGCATTGACTCTTCTTCTATCTTCCTTTTCCATTGTCCAGCTCTCACATGCATATGAGGCGACTAAAATACCATGGCTTGTGTCAAGAGCACCTTAGCCTTCAAGGAAACATCTCTGCTCTTCAGCACTTGAAAGAGGTCTTTTGCAGCATATTTGCCCAATGCTATACGCCGTCTAATATCTTGACTGCTGCTTCCATTGGTGTTGATTATAGAACCAAGTAATATGAAGTCTTTGACAACTTAATCTTTTCTCCATTTATCATGCTGCTGCTTATTCTGCTTATTGGTCCTGTTGTGAGGATTTTTGTTTTCTTTGTATTGAGGTGAAATCCACACTTCATCAGTAAGTATTTCAAGTCACCCTTACTTTCAGTGAGCAAAGCTGTGTCGTCTGCATATCTCAGGTCGTTAATGAGTCTTCCTCCAATCCTGATGCCACGTTCTTCTTCATATAATCCAGCTTCTCGGATTATTTGTTCAGCGTACAGATTGAATAAGTATAGTATGCAGTGTCCCCTTGTTCTGTTCGAATGACAGCCTCCTGGTCTATGTACAAGTTCCTCATGAACACAATTAAGTGTTCTGAAATTTCCATTCTTCTCAATGTAATGTTAAATTTGTTATGATCCACACAAATGAATGCCTTTGCAACAGTCAATAAAACACAAGTAAACATCTTTCTGGTTTTCTTTGCTTTGAGCCAAGATCCATCTGACATCAGCTATGAAATCCCTCATTCCATGTCCTCTTCTGAATCCAGCTTGCATTTCTGGAAGTTCTCTGTCAATATAATACTGCTGCAACCGTTTTTGAATTATCTTCAGTAAGATTTTACTTGCATGCGATATTAATGATATTGTTCGATAATTTCCACATTCTGTGGGATCACCTTTCTTTGGAATGGGTACAAATATGGATCTTTTCCAGTCAGTTGGCCAGGTAGTTGTCTTCCAAATCTCTTGGCATAGCCAAGTGAGTGCCTCTAGTGTGGGATCCATTTCAATGGATATCCCGTCAATTTCTAGATCCTTGGTTCTTTGAAAAAACAGCTTGAGAGATTTATCCCCTAAGCCCTAAGGAGTCATGGCTGCCCCAGTTTTCTATCTCAGAGGGTTTATTACTTTTGTGCAGGCTGATTGACATTTCCTAGGTAAACTGTAAACAAATTTTAGTTTGATACTCTTTGTCTGGTTGGTCGATATACTATGCAAATGAAGTTTCTGTAGCCTAACATGCAGATGAAATGTCTGTTACCTAAGGAGAGGGATTAGTCAGTTGTGGCCCTGGTGGAAGGGCCGTGCCTTGAAATTGATGATGAGTTCATATATATATGTGCTAACCCCACAAAGGTTTTTGTGATAGGCAGTAGGAAGCAGCAGAAAGGAGAAAAGGCAAGAGAGAAAAGTAGCAGAGAAAAGAGGCTTTCACAGACTGAACTTACAGTTAAGTGGTTTATTAAGGAAGCAACAGGCTACAGCTCAGGCACCTCCTTGACTATAAGGGCTTTAACACTGATGATAGCAAGCGGCCCAGTGACGGGGCTCAGTGGCACAGCCAGGGATGACAGGACTAGAAGGGGCCCAGTCGCAGGGCTGGTTGTGACATTCTTGGAAGGGTCCCTGCAGCAGAGTCAGTGGTAGCAGACAGCAGGGCCATGAACAGTCTGTCCTTAGGGAATCAGAGAAGCCTGTCCTCAGGGGGTGAAAGAAAGGCCTGCATGGCCAAGAGGAAGGATGTATGGTAAAGAGAAGGTCCTGCTCACTTGCATGGCCAAGTGGAGCTGAGGCAGATATCCTGCACTGAACAAGAGAGACTTTACCTGCATGTGTCCTGATCCTGATCCTGAGCTGTAGCCTGCTGCTTCCTTAATAAACCACTTAACTGTAAGTACAGTCTGTGAGTTCTGTGTGGTCATCACATTATCGACTTCCTGAAGCCATGATGGTTGGATAAACCCTGGAGATATGGCCCTGAAAGAATCTTTAAACGATAAGCCAAAAATATCCCTTGAAGTGTTCTTAAAACCAAATACTATTGTAGCTTAGCTAATAAAAAAGGTCTGCCTTGGGCACCATGCTGCTTGAAAAACTATCTATTTGGGATCAAACTGACAACAGCAATTCAAACAATCAGACAGGAACTTTAGGGGCAATAAATTTATATTAATGGTGAAGATTAACTCAGACAATGGTGAGAATGACTGCACAACTCAGAATGTAATCAGTGTCACTAAATGGTACATATAGGAACTGTTGAATTGGTGTATATTTGTGGATTATACACTCACAAACAAAAAATAAATAAAATTGTATTTTAAAAATGAAGCTAGAAGACGGTGGGATTAAATCTACAACATGTTGAGTAAAGCTATCAATCTAGAAATTATCATAAAGCAGGTGATAAAACTTTTACAAATAAGTACAAACTGATGGTATTTACCTTCAAAATAAGATCTAAAGGAAATTCTAAAGAATATATTTCAAGAAGGATGATCCAGGTTTTATACACAAGGACACACAACAAGGAATAGTGAATAAACATAATACACCACTTCTACAGACCTTAAAGGTCTTCAAAAGGAAATACATTAAAATAAATAAATAAATAAACCCTCAATATTCTTTATCTAAAAAAGATCCTATCAACACCAGGTAGTCTTTCAGAAAGCTTTTAACCTGAGGTCTAATAGCTAGTGATGCAGTAGAATCAAAATTTTACTCTTATGTTACTGCCTTCTCCAAACAACTTGAAGAAAAGTCTGGTTTAACCTACCCTTGGAACCTAATAGGTTCCAAGAGAGAATAAATCATTTTCTTCTCTTTTGAGGAGCTCTGGTAGCATAGTGCCTCAGGCACTTGACTGCTAACCAGAAGGCTGCCGGTTCAAACCCACCAGCCATTCCTCAGAAGGAAGGTTGGGCAATCCTACTTCCATAGTGATACTGCCTCGGAAACTCAAGGAGGGGTCGCTATGAGTCGGGGCTGACTCGACAGCATATAACAACAACAACATACCTTACCTAGTCTTCCACTGCTGTACATACCCTATTGATTTAAAAAAACAAAACAAAACAAAAAAAAACCCACCAAACTCACTGCCATCAAGCTGGATCTGACTCACATGACCCCTCCTTGAGTTTCCCAGGTGGTATCACTATGGAAGTAGATTGCCCAACCTTCCTTCTGAGCAGTGGCTGGTGGGTTTGAGCCGTCAGCCTTCTGGTTAGCAGTCAAATGCCTTAGACGCTACACCACCAGGCACTACACCCATTGATAAGTAATTGTTAAACGCTTATCTCTTTCATCAAGCTATGCATTCCTAGACCGTAAGGTTTGGCTTTAATAATTAACTTTCCTAGTACATAGTAGGTATTCAATAAAAGTTCAAAACAAAATGGACCAGTGGTGAGGGAATTGTTAAAACAGTACATGATGATTTCAAGTACTTAATATCATGGAGAAAAGAAAATCCAATAAGGTACATATTTGAAATTCATGTACTCACCTGCTCTAAATCAAGAGAGAGCCATTTATCATTTCCCTCTTCAGCCACTGATATACGATATTTGCTTTTGTTTTTAATCATATAGAAGGGGGTAAAGGTCACAATTCTGGTAATGTTAAAACTGCTGAGGTCTATGGTGACACCAACCTGGGGTGGGAGAGATGGAAATTAAGTTACATTGTTATAACCAGCCAATTTCAACTCATGGCAACCTTAAGTGTGTCAGAATAGATCTTGTGCTCCATAAGGTTTTCAGTGGCTAATTTTTGGAAGTAAAACACCAGGCCTTCCTTCCATGACACCTCTTGATGGGCTCAAACCTTCAATCTTTTGGTGAGAGCCAGGGATGTTAACCATTTGCATCACGAAGAGACTCCACATTATCCTAACAACCTTATAAACATTCATTCATCTTTGAGCTAGGCACGTGAATGCAGAGACCATGCTCAAATGCTGTAGCACAGAATAAGGTGTTTTTACATAAGCATAAAATTAACTCACTTGATACTCCATTTTCAGGCCTTTACATTTAACAGCTCCATGACTACCAACAGTATCAATTGAAAACTGATCCGACAATTCACTATCGGTTACCATAAGCTGAACCTAGAAGAGATTTCAAATATATTGCAATTAAACAACTTTTCAAAATCCTACCTAACAATAAATTTTCTAATTTCTAACAAAAATAAGGGAGTTCTGGTAGCGCAGTACCTAAGGCATTTGACTGCTAATCAGAAGGCTGGTGGTTCAAACCCACAAGCTACTCCTTGGAAATAAGGTTAGGCAATCTACTTCCACAGAGATACCACCTTGGAAACCCAAGGAGGCGTCGCTATGAGTTGAATCGACTAGACGGCAGTGAGTTTGGTTTTTTTTTTTTTAACACAACTAAATATTAAATTGTTAATAATCAAACCTTTCCCAATAATATATTCTAATATTTAACCTCAAATATTTGACAAATATCATTTCTATCTAGGTTTCTTAATAATTTATTCTTCAGAACTCTAAAAGCTGAAAACCAAAAACTTAACCAAACTCATTGCCACCGAGTCAACTACGACTCACAGTGGACTCCACAGGGTTTTCAAGGCTGTAAATCTTTATGAAAGCAGACTGCCTCACCCTTCTTCTACAGAGTGGCTAGTGAATTGAAACCAACAACCTTTTGGTTAGCAGTAAAATGCCTTAAACACTGTACCAACAGAGCACCTTAAAAACTAAAAAGGAGTGATAAATAGCTAAAGAATAATGGAAAGTTTTTTGAAAAAATCACATACCTTATTGTTATTAAAAAAGTGTTTTGGCTGAAAAGAAAAAAGAATTGGCTTTGTATAATTAGGTGGATGCTTTCGATGAATGCCATCTGCCTTGTATTGTAACATCCGACCAGTTTTATTGACCATCCAATAAGGACTATGAAATGCCACAACCACCTGGCCAGTATTATAAGTCACATGGACAGCAATATCTAAATCAGTCTTTTCCATTTCTGTAACACAGGTAAAGTTGATGAAACCAATGTCTTGCTGATTATGTTTTATATGATATTCACTTTTCCAATCATAATTAAGATAGTCAAGTAATTTTAAATGTAGTTTTGCATTATCCAACTCTGCAGTACACATCTGGGCAGAACATCCTTCATTTAGAGTAAAAATCCTATGTTCAATGCCCTAAAAAAAAAAAAAAAAAAAAAAACTGAAAAAGATGTTTTAAAATAATATGGCAAAGAATTCTAGCTAATTACTCCATATGCTACAAAAAATGATTTTGACATACTTCTGTCAGACAAGTATTAGAAGAAATATTCAAATTCTAACTGCCAATTGTATGAATTTCTATAAAATATTCAATCTGAGATCTGAGCTTCTATATTTTTTAAGTGGTTAAAATATATTACTTAAAGGATTATTATGAAGATTAAATAATATAATGTGAAACTACAAAGGAAATAATAAGCATAAAACATTACAGTTAGTAAAACATAAAAAAAAGTCAATCTTTTTCACTGGTGATTTTAGTTTCAAAAACTATAAAATGAAAAATATATGAGAAAATTGGTTATAATCAAAACTAAGCAATCACTACTAACTCCCATTCTTGATTTTTAAAAATCGCTCATAATCTATTTCCAACTATTATTTTTATTACATATTATGTATTTCTCAAAACTGCTCACTTTACTCCCACTTCCATAACCTTAGTTCATGTTGGTTAGTTCACTTTGATTTTTAATTTTAACAGTCTCCTAACTGCTCTCTCACCTCGTCCCCTCACTGTCTCCAACCACAGCTACATTGTCTTTGTAACACCTGATCATGTAACTTGCCTGTACTTTGGAAACTGGCAGACAGAATGTGACCTTTATAAGCATCAAATTACAAATTCATGGAGAATGGACCTTACACAGTACATCTGAGTATCTCACCAATTTTTTTCTAGCATCTTACCCTCCGTGTTTCTAATTTGTTGACCTTTTAATAAATATTCTCTAATAATGTTTAATAAATATTCTGTGTGTTTGAACATGGGTAATATAAGGAAAGATATAGTTCTCACTTGGCTAATTGTAACAAATAGCCTCCATCTGAGTAACTCAACTAGACTAGAACATAAACCCTGATCTAGGAACTATGTAAGTTTGGTAAATGTAGAAACTATGTTCATTTTATTTTTAAATCTTCACTTCCTACATGGTACCTGGCACATAGCTCAGATGCTTACTAAATATTTGTTGAACAAGAACAGTTTACAATCCCTAAACAAGATGCTTATATTCTGTGGGACAAAGAGATAGGGAAAAGAACAAAAAGTAAGCTAAGATACAGAACTGGATACAAACTTGTAGGAATAAGATTTAATATACTTCATATGTAGCCTAATAATCATGTAGAACAAGTGTGCCAGTTTAGTAGCTCAAAGGAAACGAATGTAAGGATAGAAAAGATATCAGAACAAATTGTAAATAAAAAGCAGTACAAGCAGTTTTAGGAACTGCATTTTCAACCATAGGTGTAGCAATGAGTATACCTAACACCCAAATCTTGGTTTCTAAATACCATTCTCTAATAAAATGAACTAGGGCTTCTGAAGAATTGACTGATTCTAGGGCACAGGTGGTTGCTGTTGTTAGGTGCCACTGAATCAGCTCTGACACACAGTGACCCTGTGTACAACAGAATGACACTGCTCAATCCTGTGCCATCCTCACAATCGTCCCCATGCTTCAGCCCATCATCACAGCTCTATCAATCTACATCACCAAGGATTTTCCCCTTTTTTGGCTGACCCACTACTTTACCAAGCATGATATTCTCCAGGGACTGGTCTCTTCTGACAACATGACCAAAGTAGGTGAGATAAAGACTGGCTGGCTATTCTCGCTCCTAGGGAGCATTCTGGCTGCACTTCCTCCAGGACAGGTTTGTTCATTGTTCTGGCAGTCCATGGCATTTTCAGTATTTTTCACCAATGCCACAATTCAAAGGAATCAATTAATTATCCATCTTTCACATGCATATGAGATGATTGAAAGCAGTATGGCTTAGGTTAGGCACACCTTAATCTTGAAAGTGACATCTTTGCTTTTTAACACTTAAAAGAGGTCCCTTGCAGCAGCTTTGCCCAGTGCAATATAATGTGTGACTTCTTGACTGCTGCTTCCCTGGGTATTGATTATGGATCCAAGTAAACCAAAATCTTTGACAAATTCAATCTTTTCTCCATACAGCTTATTGGTCTAGTTGTAACAATTTTCGTTTTATGTTAAAGTGTAATTTATACTGAAGGCTGTAGTCTTTGATCTTCATAAGTAAATGCTTCAAGTCTGTTTTTGTTTACCTAGTGCTGAGCTCTGGTAGCGTAGTACCTAAGGCACTTGACTGCTAATCAGAAGGCTGGCGGTTCAAACCCACCAGCCACTCCCTGGAAGGAAGGTTGGGAAATCTACTTCCATGGTGATACCACCTTGGAAACCCAAGGAGGGGTTGCTATGAGTCGAGGTCCGACTCGAAGGCACATAACAACAACAAATGCTGCTCTAACAGCAGGTACAACAAATGGGATGGCTTTAACAAACAGGAGTTTATTCTTACAATTTTTGGAGGCTAGAAGTCCAAGTTCAAAGTGCTAGGCTCTAGGGGCTGTGTGAAAGCCCCTCAACCTTGGGCTTCAGTTCTGTCTCTTGCTCCCGACCCACTGAAGCTAGAGGCATCTCTTCACTCAGGCAGCTACTGGCTGCTGAAGCTAACAAGCCCAAGGTCAACAAATAAAATGGCACAGGCCCAATGTTACCAAATCACACAGGAAGCCATTAATTCAAGTCTACTTGAAGTCCCAAGGTCGCCAGAGCATGGCAGGCTGCTTAACAATGACACAGCTACATGTAGGGTTCACCCACGCTATAAGCTAGAGACCATTCCCAAAGCTGCTGCTTATACATGTGAAACAGACCAGATCCCTAAAGCAGCTACTCAGCTGCTTGTGGTAGATCCTACTACGAAGCTGAATGCCAGTCTCATGATGGGGAATAAATAATTACTACCAGCTCCCCAGCCACTCACTAAAGCCCAGCCAAGTTGACACACAACCTTAACTATCATAAAGTTCTCTTCACATTCAGCAAGCAAGGTTGTGTCATCTGCATATTGCAGGTTGTTCATGAGTCTTCCTCCAATCCTGATGCCGCATTCATCTTCATATAGTCCAGCTTCTTGGATTATTTGCTCAGCATACAGATTGAATAAGTATGGGGAAAGGATACAACCCTGATGTACACCCTTCCTGATTTTAAACCATGCAGTATTCCCTTGTTCTGTTCGAACAACAGCCTTTTAGTCTGTGTACAGGTTCTTCATGAGCACAATTAAATGTTCTGGAATTCTCACTGCTTGCAATGTTATCCATTATTTGTTATGATTCACAGCTGAATGCCTTTGCATACTCAATAAAACACAGGTGAACATCTTACTGGTATTCTTTGCTTTCAGCTAAGATCCATCTGACATCAGTAATGATATCCCTCATCCCGTGTCCTCTTCTGAATCCAGCTTGCATTTTTGGAAGTTCTCTGTCGATATACTGCTGCAACCATTTTTTTACTTACCTTCAGCAAAATTTTACTTATGTGTGATATGAATGATATTGTTCAATAATTTCCACATTCTGTTGAATCACCTTTCTTTGGAATGGGCACAAATAAAGATCTCTTCCAATCTGTTGGCCAGGTAGCTGTCTTCCAAATTTCTTGGCATAAACAAGTAAGTGCCTCTAGTGCTGCATCTGTTCGCTGAAACATTTCAATCAGTATTCTGTCAATTCCTGGAGCCTTGTTTTTGGCCAATGCCTTCAGTGCAGCTTGGACTTCTTCCTTCAATACCATCGGTTCTTGATCATATGTTATTTTCTGAAATGGTTGAACAGTGACCAATTCTTTTTGGTACAGTGACTCTGCATATTCCTTCCATCTTCTTTTCATGTTTCTTGAATCATTACATATTTTGAATGTGAAAGTTGGAAACAAAGAAGGGTTGTAGTTGGAAATTATTGCCTTGGTGATAGATATGGTGCCAGAGACGACGATAGAATTTTGCAAGATCAATGACTTATTTATGGTAGATACCTTTTTTAACAACATAAACGATGACTACACATATCGAGCTTGACAGATGGAATACACAAGAATCAAACTGACTACATCTGTAGCAAGAGGTGATGGAGAAGCTCAGTATCATCAGTCAAAACAAGGCCAGAAGCTGACTGTGGTATAGAAGATCAACTGCTCATATGCAAGTTCAAGTTGAAGCTGAAGAAAATTAAAATAAGTCCATGAAAGCCAAAATACGACCTTAAATATAACCCACTTGAATTTAGAGACCATATGAAGCACAGATTTCATGTACTGAACACCAATGACTGAACACTTAAGGAGGTGTGGGATGACATCAAGAATATCATACATGAAGAAAGTAATAAATAGGTCATTAAAAAGACAAGAAAAGACTAAAATGGCTATCAGAAGAGACTGTGAGACTTGCCATTGAGTATAGAGTAGCTAAAGGCAATGGGAGAAATGATGAAATAAAAGAATTGAACACAAGATTTCAATGGGGAGTTCAAGAAGACAAAGTAAAGTATTATTATGAACTGTGCAAAGACATGGAATTAGAAAAACAAAAGGAAAGAACTCAGCATTTCTGAAGCTGAAGGAACTGAAGAAAAAAAATCAAGCCTCAAACTATAATATTAAATGATTCTATCCACAAAATAAGGAGCTCCAGTGGTACTGTGATTAAGGCTTGGGCTGCTAACCAAAAGGAAGGCAGTTCGAAACCACCAGCTACTCCACAGGAGGAAGAAGAGGCAATCTACTTCTGTAAAGATTTACAGCTTTGGAAACCAGAGAGGGTTCACTCTGAGTCAGAATCAACTTGATGACAGTGGGTTTTGGGGAGGTTGTGGGCCAAGTATTGAAAATTGAAGGGCATAGGAGTTAACCTGAAAAAGCTCCCAATGGCTAAAGTTGGAGCACTTTGAGCAACAAAATAAAAACTGTAGCATTGGATTATAAGCAAATAAATATCCTTAAATCCATACTGATATATATATTTTAAAAAATGTAATAACTAAACGGTGGAGAAGTGACAACTCCATCTTAAAAACATTTCCAAGTAATAAATATAGAAGACATGATAAACAAGGGAAAATAGTAAGGTTACAATGCAGAATTCTGATATATACTACCTTAGCCAAGTGATCAAGGTTAATATTACAATTAGTACATATTAATATCATACATCAATTGATATGATGCACAGAGAGGCATACATCCCCTCTGACATCCTTTCCAATAACCTCAATCGAATCCTGAGAAAACATCAAGCAACTAACTGAGAAACATTATACACAAAGTAACTGTAAGTGACAGAACTGGGATTTGGGATTCAATCCCAAGTCTATTTGAAAACAGAATGCAAATTCTTAACTACTATGCTATCTACCTCTCATATGGAAAACCTATGATGCTCTTAACCTACAGGTATTTTTAACCCCTCTCCCAAAAAAATATGTATCAGAAAAGTGTAAATATATGGCAGATCCCAAAGCAAAATTAACTTATAATTAATACACTACAATGGAAAACTACTTTCATTGGAAAAGCACAGCAAATGGAATATTTATTTAAGATCTAAAAATGGAAAACTTTGTTACCACAACAGGAAGGAACTAGAATTTATCTTTAAAAAAAAAAAAATGTCTAAAAGTAAAAGCATTTCTATAGGGCATATAATACTTTTGAGAATTAACACTAGGAAAATATACTGTGGAGGTTTTTCTCTTTAACTCTAGCATTTGAATTTTATTTCAATATCCATTCTCATATTTGTTTCAAACATTATTATCTATCCTTTAAGTATATGATTTATAAAATACACATACATGGGAAAAATCAAGAAATACGTATTCTAAAACTTTAACAGTGATATCTTCAGATGAAATAATTACAGGCAATTATTATTATCTTTTTGTTGTTGTTGTTATGTGCCATCGAGTCTTGGCTTTCTTAATTTCCTAAGAGGACTTGCTCTTGCTTTCATAAATAATTTTTCAGATGGCATATCACATTTGTACATATAAGTTATATTCAGCTTAGTGACCAGATAGCTAAAGTAAATCAGTGGAAAATACTACACTTTTAGAAACTGTCTTTATACATAACATAATTAAAATATTTCTTTTCTACTTGAAAAATTTGAAAACTAGTATTATTCTTTACTAGTCTATAATTTTTTTCATTGTTCATAACTTTTTATTATTTGCAACATTAAATAACTAAAGCTACAAAATCAGAGGCAAGAAAGCATTAAAAAATTTCCAGAATACCTCTAAATAATATGCGATTTTGTAAGGAAGAAGGTTTCGGAGCAGGATAGGTGGCCATAAATGGATTATGTATGGTAAGTCCCAACCATCTTCTGAATACACTGAAAGAGATGCCAAATTATCTTTTTCTGGGACAATATTAACAACGAATGGCTTCTTGGAAGGGTTTGTAGGTCTACATTTCTTCTTTAGAAGAGTTCCGTCATTTTTTATAATTTCTTCAAAGTCAATTCCTTCACATACTTGATAGTCCTCATCTTCTGGCTTCAGAAAAAGGGATGATCTGCATAAAAGATTAAATATAACACTTCAAAATACTTTAAAAGAAAGCATTATTAAATTATAAAAATAAAATTGCCTCCCATTATAATAAAATTTTTTATATTCTGATGTTCTTTTTAGAGATAGATAAGAAAGGGAAAAATAGGCAATTTCAAATTAATTTTCTGGGAACTAACCAAGTTATTTGATTTTTAAGAGGAGAATATTTTTCTCTCCAACTTACTATCTTAAAAGTATATTTATAATGTTAATAACCAGTTTCTTACAGAAAATACATAATTATATTGGTCATAAATGCAAAATAAACCATATGCAATTATATGTGTTTTTGGACACTTAACTGAAAGAAGCCAGCTTTCTTAGCTCTATGGTCTTAACAGGAAGTATGGATCTTGAGTTCATAAATTAAAGAAAATATTCCTATTAAATTAATATTTCTATTAAAAAATAATTACCAGCATTTCAAAGTTAATCAGATAAAAGCTTTCAAAAGATACTTAACTTTATTGAAACACCGATACAGGTGCAGACAAGTGGATGCAATAAAACAGTGACAGAATCAGGAGGTGCCACATATGATTAATCCTTTTATGGAGCTATCACATTTTTGTTTATATTTAGCTCTATTTTTAGGTTTAATATGTTTTCACCTAAAGTGTACCCAAGAATAAAGATTGAAATATTTTTATATTTATAAAACTTATGACCTATAATTATCAAAACTATGTCTAGGCCCAATTATTGCCCCACACTGTAGTCCTAAAATCTTAAATAACTTCTACATATTTCTGTGATGACATCTTAAACTTACTAGATTAAATATTGAACACTGAACCTTCTATATGCACTTCTCTGTGTATCCTTTTTCAGGGACTTTCAGCTATAGACATTCTGTACTAGTAGACTCGTCCTTCCTCCCTGACCCACATATGAAATTATTTGTTAAATCAGTTATTGGATTTATCCTATTGTATATCTAGATTCTCTCCATAATTTTCATTCTACTTTCCACTCTTATTTTTAGCATTTAAAGATCAAATTAAACTAATGCTAATATTCATATTCAGTTATTCCAAACCTTTATTATTTACATACTTATTATTTATCAATGAGAAGGCAAAACCTGAAATGGAAAAATGAGTAACACATTTACAATCAGATGGAAAACATATGTAAAGAAATAACCACTGCAATATGATAGATACCAAAAAACATATGTACCCAGCACAGAGGGGGCAGAAGAGTGTAGTCAACTCTTTCAAGGCAGTCTACAGAGTATGACAATTTTCAACTCTTTCAAGGAAGTCTACAGAGTATGACAAAGCTTTCTTGTGAAGAGAAGGTGAGTTAGAGAAACATGAAAGGTTAAAGGAAAGCTTAAGAAATGAATGAGAAAACAGGAGATCATCAAAACAGATGATCAATGGCAAGAGGTTCTGAATGAAAAGAGATGGTGGAAAGAACTGTCTTGAAACAGAAGGGAAAGCACCAAATCTTCTGAGATAGGAAAGCGGGAACAGATTATATTAATATATTAATCAGTGGCAATAAAATTTATAAAAATAGGGGCATGGAAATTAAAAGCACAAATACCTCAATGTGAACCTGATCTAACTTTCAAATTTCATCTTCCAACATGCCTCCAATCAAACTTCGACTATGCTTATCACTCACTTACTCACTCACTGCCATCAAGTCTATCCTGACTCATAGTGACCCCTCCTTAGGTTTCTGAGGCAGTATCACTATAGAAGTAGATTGCCCACCCTTCCTTCCAGGAGTGACTGGTGGGTTTGAACCACCAGCCTTCTGGTTAGCAGTCAAATGCCTCAGGCACTATGCCACCAGAGCTCTCTTGACTATATTATAGACCTATACAAACCCTGGGCTTCCACGCCTCCGTATGTTTGCTCATGCATGTCCTTCCACTTAGACAGACTGCCCTTTCCAGTTAACCTCCACATTACTATATTTTTACCTGTATTTCATGTCCCTTATCTAAGAATCATCCTTAATTCCTTCTTTGCACTTCTATAGTTTTCTGTAACTATAACAGTTTCTGTAACTCTCTACCACCCAAAGTTTTCTACCTTACACATTTACATACTCTATCAATCTCTGGAGGGCAGTGTTATTGCTCTTAGTTGCCACTGATTCAGCTCTGACTGAAGGCTACCCCATGTACAACAGAACAAAACAGTTGCACAGTTCTGCATCATCTTCATAATGGTGGGCATGTTCAAGTCTGTTTTTGTGGCCACTGTGCATGCTGAGTGCCTTCCAACCTTGGGGGCTCATCTTTCAGCACCATATCAAACACTATTTTTTTGCAATACATAGGGTTTTCACCAGCTAATTATCGGAAATAGATTGCCAGGCCTTTCTTCCTACTCTATTTTAGCCTGGAAGGTCCTCTGAAACCTGTCTACCAGGGGTGACCCTGCTAGTATTTGAAATACCAGTGGCATAGCTTACATCATTATAGTAAGCCGTAAGCCACCACAGTATGACAAACTGACAGATAAGTGGTACTCAAGGATAACAGCCATGTCCAATTCACCTTGATATAATACAGTGCCTTACCCACAAAATATTCTTGATAAATATTTGTTGACTAAATTAAAGAGCAGCATATTTAACTTTTACAGGAAAAAAAGATAATTATTTGTTCGTTTAAAACCTTACATTTTAAATATAAATCCAAGTACTGGATCAAAAGAATACCTAATGTGAAATCCAAGCTAGCTGCTCACTAATGGCTTTAATGGAGATGGAATAATATTCATTTCACAAATCAATATTTAGCCTTGAAAAAGAAGTATAAAAATAATCTAAAGGCCTAATTGTTTTTCTAGTCTATGAACAGAGTCACAAAATATGTAGCAATAATTTATTAAATAATAACTTATTTAAAATTAACTAGAATGCCATTTACTCTTATTATCCAAGGAAAAATGAAGCTTAGGTTATTCACAGAAGTTTTCAAACATAACGACATGCTATCCTTAACTGTATCTAGTCAACCACTGAAGACCCTATGAAGCACAATTATACTCTGACACATATGGCGTTGTTATGAGTAAGAATGGACTCAAAGGCAACTGGTTTTTGGTTTAGACTTATAACTCACCCTAAAACAAGGTCAGATATAGTAAATTACTTTTTAAATTTTTTATCTCTCCACAATACAATTTTTTCCATCAGTAAGACTGAACAAAACAATAAAACACTGATCAAAGTTAGACCTATCTATCTGAAAAAATGTACCTAAAACTGTTAGATTATCTTCCAAATATTAGGGACCCCATCCTGAAATCCTAGGCACAGGTCAGAATAAATAGAGGCAAGAAACAGTTAAGCACTCCTCGGAAGGAAGGCTAGGCAATCTACTTCCGCAGTGATACCGCCTTGGAAACACAAGGAGGGGTCGCTATGAGTTGGGACTAACTCAAGGGCACATAACAACACAACAATTATCCTCTGCAGCATAGGCATAAGTGTCCATGTCTACTATGAGTGCTGAGATGGTACTTAGATAAACTGAAAGAAAAAAAGAAAAAAACTCACTGCCTTCAAGTCGGATCCAACTCACAGTGAACTCTCCTTGAGTTTCTGAGGCAGTATCACTACTGAAGTACATTGCCCAACCTTCCTTCTGTGGAATGGCTGGTGGGTATAATGCTTAATTTTGGGGAAAGTTTTACTCTCAAATAGAGTTTAATCTCCATAGAAGAGATCATTTTCAATTTCAAACTGAATATCCTAAATAGTAATACTTCTTGTTGTGGTGTAGTAAATGACATAGTGTGCCTTTTTTAGCCATAAGTCTTTGTAAACTCTGTGGTGGAATTTGCTGTGAGCAACTGAGTAGCTCCTGATTGTTAAAGTTATCCACCTGGGATACTTCTGTTGGGAGCAGCACAAAGTAATTTTCTGGGAAGTTCGCTCTCTCTCGGGTGTATAGAACTCTGATGTTGGGATTGGTGAGTGGTCACTGTGCCAGGCTCAAAAGGAGCCTTTCTAGAGGCAGAAGATGGCTCTAACTGTTGGCTGAGAAAGACATTCTGCTGAGAGAAACATGCTCCTAAGAGACATGAGAGACACACTCTGCTGAGAGAGATGAGAGACACTGCTGAGAAAGACCTTGAGACATGCACTGCTGAGAGAGACTGACAGACTGTCAACTGAGAGATGGTTGGCTGCGAGAGACTGAGTACATTTCTGAACTTGAGTTGTAGCCTGCTTCTTCCCTAGTAAACCCAGTAAGCTGTGAGTTCTGTGTGGCCACTGCAGGGAATTATTGAACCCAGCAGAGAGGTGGTAGGTACTGCAGGAGGAATGGTTGGTGTCAGGGTTGATGAAAGGGCTGGAGGGAGGCAGCATGTCTGACCTCACAGGAATAGGCCTTGGACTATTGATGGTGATTCTGTCTTTCTCTTGTGGGGTTAGAGGTCAGAAGATGCAGCCTCCTTGCCTCTTTAGCACTTGTTAAGATAATACATCAGTAATTATAAGACTAGTCACCATTAGTATTTTGATATAATTTTTATAATCCTTTATTAAGGAGGAGAGCGCTGGTGGCATAGTGCCTAAGGCATTTGACTGCTAACCAGAAGGCTGGGGATTCAAACCTACCAACCACTCCCCAGAAGGAAGATTGGGCAACCTACTTTGGTAGTGATACCACCTCGGAAAGCCAAGGACGGGCAGCTATGAGTCGTATCCAATTCGATGGCAGTGAGTTTTTGTTTTTTCGGTTTTTTTTAATTAATGAGTTTATATCAAGCTTAATCTAATCACTTTGAATATTTAAAATTAATGTGCTATGTATCTGTTTATATTACAAAACTCTCTGAATAGTTAGCCAATATGTAGAAAAAGTACTTTACATTTTCTAAATTTTTAAAATTCTCTTTTTAAAAAGCATTAAAAAGTAAATATCACTTCATAATAGCATATATAAATCCAGATGGCACTGATCATACTCGATTAGAAATTTTAAAAAATCATAAACATGTATGATTAGGGTTATGAAGGCTATATTACTATTGAATAATAACCATATGTAATAGTAAAAATGTAATTTACATTGAATAATTAAATGTATTAAATTGTTTCCAAAACAAACAAAAACGTTCTAGTGTCCTAAAGCCTAAATAAGTTACACAATTGCCACGAAACAGGTAGATTTGATCAAAATTTCATAATTTAAAGGTAGATACCCATTCATAATCAAAAAGTAAAATTTCTATAAGAGACTTTGAAACAGATAAAAAGAGAAAAAAAAAATCACCTGTAAGATGGTAATGGTATGTTGAATTCATTTTCAGGTGAAGCAGTTCCTAATAAATTGTCTCCTTCGTAAACCAAGAGTGGGTTAGAGAAATGATTTCTAATCTAGGGTAAAAAAATATTTAGTTTCATTAATCTCTGGTTCTAAAGGCATTTCTTAAAGTAGCCTATCTAAATATCCCAACAAAGAATGTATCAAGTGATACTCATCTTGCTCATACAAATTTTAAAGAAACAAAATTATTTATCCTAAGAAACACAAAGAACATTCCAATAGTTTTACATGAAAAGAATCTCAAAAACAATAGTTTAAAAATCTGAGAAGAAAATAAGATAGTATCTTTTTGACCTTGAGATGGGAAATAACATCTTTATACGTTTTTAATCAGACACAAATAATTTTTTAAAAATCTTAAGAAAAAATATATAAAAATTTAAAATATACATGACACATGTGGAAAACAAGCCACAGGGTTAGAGATATCTATAATACATATAAATAAAGAATTCATACCCAGTACACACAAAGAAGTCCTAAAAAATCATTAAGAAAGTTTCAATCAAGAGAAAAGTGAGAAAAGAATATAAATAAGCTATATTCATGGAATAGGAAAACTAAATGACCAGTAAACAAATGAAAAGATGCTTAACATTACCCATAATCAAGAAAATATAATTAAAAATCATAAGATATCTTTTCATACTAACAGACTGGAAGTCAGAAGTCTTGCAATATAAAACTTGAAGAGGTTAAGAGAAATTCTCACACACCTGGTAGTGGAATTTTAACTGATAAAAATCATTTTGGAAAATAATATTGCAAAACGCTAGTAAAAACGAAAATGCAACTTCTTTCAGATTTAGCCATCCTGCTAAAAGAAGAATATCCACCACACGCACTAAGATATTCTTTATACTCACTACAGCACCGATTTTAATATGAAAAAGAAACACTCCCATTAATAGAGGAATAATCGAGAAAATTGATTACTCATAGAAAAGAATATGCTACAGCAGTTAAAATAATCTCTATGTATCAATAAATAATTACATTCCAAACATAATGTGGTATGAAAATAGGAAACAGTGGACTAATGTAAGCAGGGTACCATTTATAGAAGACAATAAGAAACACACCATAGTATATGTCTTATGGACACATGTAAGTTCAGTTATAAAAACAGAACTAGTACAGTATACCGTAAATTAACAACATGATTTCCAAACTGATTTTCTCTAGGGAAAAGGAAGAAGGGAAAGTAAACAAAATAGTTAATTTCATCTCTATCCTATTTTTTCAAACCTGAAGCAAAAATTGTAAATGTCAACATGTTATATTCCAAAGTATGAATAGAGAGGTCTGTATAAAAATGACCTTCTCAAAATGAAAAATGAAAGTGAATAATGTTTTAAAGAAAGGAATCCATACCAAACTAATGAACAATATTCAGGGCGTTCAAACCATAGGCCTTAGATAGAAGTTTTATTAAAATCACAGTTTTTCTTTTTTTGATGATATATATATATATATAACTTAAAATAAGTTTCAGTTTTACATTCAACTTATTAATGACATAAATGCAGCATAGTGAGACATTTGCTTTTCAGGAATGCATGTTTGGATGTGAAGTTATTAGTTATTCAGTGTGATTCTGCTCCTTTTGTTTCTTATCAAAGTCAGCATGGAAAAAGTTGGTGGGAAGCAGAAACACACCAGTGATGTGGAACTTGGAAGCAAGGCCAAGGCCTGAAACAAAGACCAAGAGTAAGCCTGAGAAGACAGGGCACGAGAAAGAGGAGGGGAGGAAAAAGACGGTAAACATCTACTTAAAAGCATGCAACAGGCTAAGCAATCCTGGTGGAAGAATTCCCAAAATTTGTACCCATCCAACAGCACGGTAATATTACAAAGAACACAGACATTAAATTGAAACAGAGTTAAGGTCAAATCCTTGTACTGTGTGATGCTGGGCAAATTGTTATTATTTTTAAAAATACCATTTCTCCTGACTAGAAGAACTAATGAATTGGTATACCAGAATATTAAACATATATAGAAATACACAAAAACAAAAGTAAAAAACATCCTTATCCATAAAGAGTATTTTGATGATTACCCCTAAAGTGTTTTACTTTTCTGTATACATATGAAACATCCTCTTTTTAAAAACAAGACTAGAGATACATGCTGTTTTGTAACTTTCACTCAATGTTTCAATTGAAAACTTACCTATGTTATTAAATAACCTTTCTTATTTGCTCTCTTATTAGAATACTAACTAATTCCTTACAGATATTTCAACTGTCTCTAACTTATCAATACTAAAAAATATGATTAATAAACTGGAGATCTCAATTGGTTTGTATATTTGAGGTATAGTGAACAAAATACAGTTAAGAAACTGTTAAGAATAGCTAATAGATTGGTTTTATTCTATTTTAATTACAATCCCTTTAAGGTTACTGCTGCAAAGACATCACTTCTTAGTCACCTGCATCCCAAAATGCTTTTCTAGAAATACTAGGTAAAAAGATATCTTCGTCAATTCCTTAAGACTTCACTTCTCTCATATATAAAAGAGAATCCATGTTATTCACATGATTTCTGTAAAGAAGAGGTAAGAGTATATACAGAGAATATCTCATACAATGAATAGCTCACAACTAAGAATGGGCCATCTACTTCCATAGAGATACCACCTTGGAAACCCAAGGAGGGGTCACTATGAGTTAGATCCCACTCCATGGCAATGAGTTTGGTTTTCTAGTTTGATGATGTAAAAAGTGGTAGTAATATTATTATGATTAATATGTTATCAAATACACCTCCAAACACTTATATTCACCTTTGGGATGGTTGAAAACAAATCAGTTGGTAATACCAAGTTCTCATTATAGTCTCTCTATATCTTACTAAAATCTTTCTATGATTTAAACATCACGCTAACACATAAAACTTGCTGAGTGAGAACTATAATTTGGATAATGGATAATCTTATATACACTACATTTTAAATTCTAGATGAGGTGTTTGCTCTACTTATTTGTAGCAACTGAAATACATTTTCATTTCTATAAGTTGTTGTTGTTGTTGTTGTTATGTGCCGTCGAGTTGGCCCTGACTCATAGCGACCCCTCCTTGGGTTTCTGAGGCAGTATCACTACGGAAGTAGGATTGCCCAACCTTCCTTCCGAGGAGTGGCTGGTGGGTTTGAACCGCCAGCCTTCTGGTTAGCAGTCAAGTGCTTTAGCCACTATGGTACCAGAGCTCCTTTTCTATAAGTAATACCCATAAAAAATTCAATATTACCAGTTATTTATTTAATAAAATAGAAAAAGAATCACCATTAATGAGAGCTAACTTACAATCATCTTTTAAAAGGGTTCACTGCAAATCAAAAATGAAAAAAAGAGGATTTCTGTTCTCAGCAGGGTAGAACAGGCCAAATATATGTTCCCACTAAAAACAACCATGAAACAAAAATGTTTGTGTGTCTGTGTATAAAAAGGATTTTCCAACATTGGACAATAGGCAACACAGGGAGAAATACACACATACAAGGTGAGCACTATGATTGCCCAAACGTGCTAACCTCGAGATTTTCTAGGCTGCAGAGGAAAGCTCTGGTAGCATAGTGCCTAAGGCACTTGACTGCTAACCAGAAGGCTGGAGGTTCAAACCCACCAGCCACCCCTTGGAAGGAAGGTTGGGCAATCTATTTCCGTAGCGATATTGCCTCGGAAACCCAAAGAGGGGTCGCTATGAGTCACGTCCGATTCGATGGCACATAACAACAACAGTGGTGCGAGGGAGAAGACAAACAGACCCTTAGTCTGCTGGAGTTGAAGAAGCAGAGCTGAAAATTTGGGGAGGTCAATGTAGTCAGGAAGCTCTGGTAGCATAGTGCCTAAGACATTTGACTGCTAACTAGAGGGCTGGCAGTTCAAACCCACCAGCCACTCCTTGGAAGGAAGGTTGGGCAATCTACTCCCTTAGTGATACTGCCTCGGAAACCCATGGAGGGGTCGCTATGAGTTGGGTCCAACTCAATGGCACATAACAATAACAAGAACAACAATGTAGTCAAATTCACAACGCAATATACTGGAGAGGAGGAGCTGTCTGAAGAGCCAAGAGCTACACAGAGAGAATTCTTGAGGATTAAGAGAGGCCTTCCCCTGTTCTATGGCATCAGTTGAGTACTGCTCAGCACATGCACAGGAGTAAACTATTTAAGGTTGAGTAAACTTCTGCTCTCACTACTTGCATTAAAATTGTACTGGAGGTTCTAGCCAGGCAACAGGCTAGAAAATATAAATAAAACAAAGCATATCCAGATTATAAAGGACTAAGTAAACATGTCTTTCATTGCAAATGTTATATTTACCTATATCTATTTAAAAAAAAAAAAAAAAGAGCTCTGGTAGCGTAGTGCCTAAGGTTTGACTGCTAACCAAAAGGGTGGAGGTTCAATCCCACCAGCCACTCCTCAGAAGGAAGATGGGGCAATCTACTTCCATAGTGATACTGACTCGGAAACCCAAGGAGGGGTCGCTATGAGTTGGGTCTAACTCAATGGCACATAACAACAACAACATTAAAAAAAAAAAAAATACTACTAGTACTAATAAGTGAGCCTAGTAAGGCTGCAGAATACGTGAATATCTATATATATATTGCTAGTATATAGAAGTGCAATTGATTTTTAGATATTCACGTATTCTGCAGCCTTACTAGACTCACTTATTAGTACTAGTAGTTTTTTTTTTTTTTTTTTTTTTTTTTTTTTTTTTTTTTTTAATGTTGTTGTTGTTATGTGCCATTGAGTTAGACCCAACTCATAGCGACCCCTCCTTGGGTTTCCGAGTCAGTACTGGTAGCATAGTGGCTAAAGCACTTGACTGCTAACTAGAAGGCTGGCGGTTCAAACCCACCAGCCACTCCTCGGAAGGAAGGTTGGGCAATCCTATTTCCGTAGTGATACTGCCCCGGAAACTCAAGGAGGGGTCGCTATGAGTCGGGGCCGACTCAACAGCACATAACAACAACAACAACATACTAGCAATAAATAATCAGAAATTAAATTTAAACACATACTAACTGCAATACCATTAAAATATGATATACAAATGAATGTATCAAAATATGTGTATGGCCTATATAGTGAGAACTACAAACCATTGATGGTAGAAATGAAAGACTTAAATAAATGGGTTGAAAGATTCAATATTGTTAAGATGTCAATTATCCTCAAAATTTACCTATACATTTAACAGAATCTCAATTAAAATCCCGGTAAAATTTTTCATAAAAATTGATAAGCTGATTCTAAAATTTAAATGGAAACGACCGAGAACAGCTAAAACAACTTTTGAAAAAAATAAAGCTGAACTACTTACCCACCTGATTTCAAAGTCTATGATACAGTAGTAATCAAGACACTGTGATACTGGCATAAAGATAAATATATAAATGGAACAGAATACAGAGTTCAGAAATAAACCCATACATATATGGCCAACTGATTATTTACAAAGGTGCCAAGGTAATTTTATGGGGAAAGATTAATCTTGGTCTTCAGATACAACACTCAGATAGTCATATCAGGGAAGGATATAACCTTGCCTCACACCATATTAAAAAAAGAAATTCACTCAAAATGGATATGCAGTATATCCATATAAGATTACTATTCAGCACAATATGCAACTGTACGTAACAACATGGTACAGAAAAGTTTTGCAGCAACAGTATGCCGAATGAAAGAAACCAGACTCCTTTCTATACTCCACACTACTTATTAAAAAATTCTAGTTAGCGCAACAAAAGCATAGTGACAGAAAACCAGTGGTTACCTGGACATGGGGAAGTAAAAAAACAGGGAATTTTTCAGGGTAATAAATATGTTCACTTTCTTGTTTGTGGTGCTAGTTTCACAGGTATATTTTTGTGTCAAAACTCATCAAGTTGTACATGTTTAATCTGCAGGTTACTACGTGTTAAGTTATACCTTAAAAAGGCTGTAAATTTTTTTTTCTTACCAAAACAGAACATATACATGCTACAAAGATCTAAAACAATATTTTGATGAATATTTTTTAACAAAATAATACAAAAAAGATCTTATAAAAGAGTAAAGGATTTGCAGATTCTTACAGAATCCTTACAAGAAATATATTCAACAGAATCCAACCACTCATTATAATTAGGGTAGCACAATTACTGATGATGTTTCTTTTTTATGATACTACCTGTATTTGTCTTACAGACTGTCTTCCTTGGTAATAATTTGTTTTAGCTTTTTCTTTTTTACTGGCACATGAATACTCATAATATGACGACACATAAAAAGTTATCATTTCGTACCTGCACTGGGGAACGAATTGTTATCTTCTTACTGCCTTCCACTGCATCGATCTGACAAACAATAGATCTTTCAACTCCAGACTCTCTGTGCCTAACAGTGTAAAGACGACGTCCCACTTTTGTTAACGGAATCTTATCAGCAGGAGAGTGGTTAACAGGTGCTAAATTAAATATATAGAGATGTTTGAAAGTTTGGTTATAATTCATTATACATTAAATTTAAGTGTTTTAAATATCAGAAACATCAGTTTGCTAACCTGATTATTGTAGGCTTAAGATGGAGTCACTTACTTTGAGACCCATATCAGTGTGTATAAAAAACCTAACTATTTCCTACAAAAGCCTGACCTTTCTCAGAAGCTGACTAAGCTAACCAATTAGGACTTGCCTGCTCAGCTTAAATTAATTCAAAATTTCCTCTTAATCCCAAAAAAGGAAAGAAAATGCTCAACAGATAATCTGAAATTGCCTAGTATTGCTTCCTTGTTCTAGTGTCTGTTCCTATAAAACTTCCACTTTTTATTGCTCTTTGAAGCTCTTGTCTGACTTCCAGACCAGATGCTTCCCAATTCATGAACTACAAATAAAGCTTATGAGTTCATATATAAATTTAATCTTGTGGAAATCTTTTTTGTAACAAGATGACTGTCTTAAATTTATCAATAATAGTAACTGCAGTCTTTGAATATAATCTATACAAAGGCTACCACTTATTTCCACAGCACTCACTTAAGACCTTCAAACCACTTTATGAAACAAAGAAATTTTTTAAAATTCACTCAGGAGTTTAATCCAAGACACAACAGCAAACCTTTTTAAAATGACAGGGGAAGGACAGGCATTATTATAAAATATGAGCATGTAGGTCTCTGGTTTGCCGTCAAAATAATCAAAGCCAAATAACTTCAAGCTGTCAGTCAAGGAAGCTGCTATTTTTCATTTTCCAAAAAGCGGTAACACCTTCATGATTGTATCTTATTTTTGACTAAACATAATTTATATATGATAATTAACAGATAATTATTGTATTAGAAGTGTAGTATTTGCATAAATCACTCCCTATCCATAAAAAAATGTTTGTGGATAGCAGAAATATAAAATCAATGAAAACTTCGTTGGCAATGCTCTGAAAACACCTGAAACATAGCTATTGTTGTGCATCATCACCTAACTAGGACAAAGCACTTGCTATCAATTTTAGTATTATCCCTCTCAAGTTGAATTAGTAACTATATAAATGAAAGTGTCAAAAGTGGTGTGGTTGAGGCTTTGGGACTATTTAACTTCCCAATGACTTAATAATTTAAGAATGATTTTATTTTCACCTCCTCATAAAAATGAAAAACTTTTGGGAAGCATAAAGGACAAAAGAAAAAAAGTCTGCCTCAACAGGCAGACAGACCACAAAAGCTCTCAAAAAACACAAAAACCATTTCAAATGTATGTTTCATGAATTCAAACCTTAATTTGAATTCATTCAACTCCAGGAACTGGTGAAATCCTACTGAGCTATACCAAATGTGGATAAAACAACAACCAACAGCTACAGTTTGCCAAAAATTGAGTGCAGATGAGATTTAATATTTTTCCTCTCTGAAACAAAAGGCAATAAATCACAACACTCTAGATAATGCAATGGCTAACAATTTATAATATAAAGATATATTTAATACAGCAACCAAAGTACTGCAAAGAGTTTAAAAAAAAAAAAAAATTCCAGACTAGTAAGAGGAAAATAAAAACCTATAGCTACCACAAATGAGTAAAATGGGATACAGAATGTAATTTAAAACAAATTAAAACTCAGGAAGATAATATATCACTCACCAAGATGAATGAAGAAAAGCTTGCTGCTTAGGCTGGTCATTGCACTGAAATGATCATTGTCCTTAGTTCGAATGTAATCCATACTTAAACTCTCCTTATTTCTCAATATATATGATTTTGCCATAGGAACACTGAGTACACTAAAGGAATCACTTGGTGAAACAGAGATAGTAAGTCCAAGAGAATTTATAATCATAAATGGTGCTAGATCCTTTAAGAATACATCTGAAGATCCAGTGGCAGCTTCTGTAAATGCCTTAAAAATAAATAAATAAAAGATCTTAAATAAGACACCATATAAATAAAATGTGGAAAATTAAATGACCATTAGAAGAACACCAATGGACACATGTCAAAAAACTAAGTCAATAATAAACTTTTTGTTTAAATAAAAGAAAGGGACAATGCAGACTAGGATCCTATCAATAAAAGTGTGAAATTTCTTTTCTTACCTTGCCTAAATTATTTAACATTACAAGGCCACACTTGGATAATGTAATGTTTAGCTGATCTTTTGAATAGAAACTGAAGGTAGTTTTGTATTCTGGAACTTTGTAGTTTTCTTCTTCAGTATCTGATTCAACAATGGCTTTTTTTGCTTTCTTTTTCATCTAAAATACCAAATAAATTATAGCAATATAAGAAAAACTTGTTTCTAGGAGCACAAGATAACTCATTTTACATAGTAAAAACAAACTTTAGATAAACCCCAATAATATCATTAGAAAGAGGAATACATTTTATCAGTTCTACTTCTTTACTGGAAACACTTGGAAATCAGCAACAAAGCAGTATTAGTGTGTGTAGGAGAACCTCTTATTATCAGTGATAATATAATGGTAGGAGTTCTGGTAGCATAGTGGCTAAAGCACTTGACTGCTAACCAGACGGCTGGCAGTTCAAACCCACCAGACACTCCTCGGAAGAAAGGTTGGGCAATCCTACTTCCGTAATGATACTGCCTCGGAAACCCAAGGAGGGGTCGCTATGAGTCAGGGCCGACTCGACGGCACATAACAACAACAATATAATGGTAGTCACATATTAGAAGGAGAAAAATTAAATGTATGTAAAAGCTGAATGAAAATTAAAAGCATACATATCAGAACAATATGGAAATTTAGAGCAATAAAAAGAAGTATATTTAGTCTTTTAGTCATGTTATAAAGAACTAAAACCTAAGGACTTAACAAAGACAGACAATTAGTGACAAAACTGTGTAGTAAACCTAGGACTCATAGAATATCCCTTTTCAGGATTCACAAACCCAATGTCCATGTACAGTCTAACATAAAAACCATCAAAGGAGTCCTTTATCTAAATCCTTTATCTTAAAAATCAAATTTACTGGTCTAACACCAAAAAAGCAGGACATGCCAAGACAGTCACCTTTCTTGTTACTTTAACTGGCTCTAAGCTACTGACTGCTAACCAGAAGGCTGGTGGTTCAAACCCACCAGCTACTCCTCGAAAGGAAGATGGGGCAATCTACTTCCGTAGTGATACTGCCTCAGAAACCCAAGGAAGGGTTGCTATGAGTTGGGTCTGACTCAACGGCACATAACAACAACAAGCTACTGAAAACTTGTTTGCAAAATGACTGAACTATTACTAAGCAGGAGACATACTGGTTTATCTACAGTTTCCGATTTCAGGAACATAATTTCATCCATAAAAAAGGCCCTGATTCTCATGATTAAATAAATTCACAATATATTTTAAACAGGTAACAATATAACTTCTATAACTAAATATCAGAGGACAAAGGCAACATGAGATAGACAACAACCTACAAGAAAATGACAACAGCATTAGAACATAGTGGATAAGAAGAGCAGGGACTCTACCATCAGGTTTGCATCCCACCTCCTCCATTTTCTAGCTATCATTGCTTTCAGGAGGTCCCTGAACATCTCTGGTCTCATTACTTCATATGTTAAAATGGATATAAAAATTGCATCTTCTTCAAAGGGTTAAATCAAAGATACAGTACTTAGAATAGTGTCTCCTACATAATAAATGTTGCAATTATATTAGAAATATATGAAGTATCAGCCTTGGATTTGAAAATTACATTCAGAGTCAAACAGGGAAGCATGTAGGACAGGCTCATAATGAGAAAACTTCAACTCTGTTGTGATTAAAATTAACTCATGTCACCAAGAGACAACATGAATCCCATTCTCCATGACCCTGTGACCAGAAGAACTAGCTGGTGCCCAGGTACCACTGCTGACCTCTCTAATAGGGATCACAATAGGAGGTCCTAGATAACAGTGGGAAAAAAGTGTGGAACACAACTCAAAATCGTAAAAAAGAAAAACAAAAAAAACTAGACTTACTAGTCTAATAGAGACTGGTGGAACCCCTGAGACTATGGCACTTAGACGCCCTCCAAGCCAGGCACTGAACTGAGTCTCATAGCTCAATTTTCAGCTACATAATGGACATACTTATAAGGTAAACAGTAATACTAGAAAGACATGCACCCATTAGAATAATCAACCATATGAGATCAAAAGGTCAGCATTTGCCTAAAGATAAAGCTAAGAAGACAGGGACAAGGATAGGAAAGAAGGACAAAGGTAAATGGTAAACACGGACAGGAAGTGGGAAGAGTGCTATTATACCGTGGGGATGGCAATGAATGTCACAAAACATTTATGAATTTGTTCTGTATACTTCACCTAATCACACACACACACACACACACAACACCTCATGTCTCATGTAGTATTGACCTTCTAAATTTCTTAAGTTATTTTTCAGACTTCAAATTTACCTTGAATCCAAGATTCCATGGTCTAAAATCCTCAGTCTGATCAATTTCTAAGGGTTCCAGCAAAGGCTCCCACACACCAAACATTTCATTGTAATAATGCACCTATAGAAATAATTGTTATTTTTTTTAAATAAGGTATTCTGATATTTAAAAAAATTATCTTCCATGCTGTTTCCCTCCACCATGTTTTTTATTATTTCTTCTATATGAAACTGTTTTAGGTACCATTAAGTTGCTTTCTACATACTTTCTCCTAATGTTTTCCTCACCTAGTTAACCTCAAAGCTCACATTCACCCTTCAAATTATAATCCAGATAAAATTGTCTTCTAAGCATTTACTGTTCCCTCCAGGTTGGGCTGGCTAAGCATCAAACACTATGTTTACCTATCATATATTATTGATATTAATATCTCTCTACAGAATGAAAGCCTCTTGAAGGTAAGCACCATATCATCCAATAAGTGTTTGCTTATTTGAATACTTTAAACTTCTTCGTCATCCTACATCAAATCCTCTGAAAAATATACAGATATTTAAACAGAATTGAAATTATAAAACCTAGTCAAGCCAGTTTTAACACTAGTAGTACATTACCCTATACCAACACACTTAAATATTACAACAGCTTATAAAAGTTCCTATTAGCAGTGATATGGCAGAACATCATACAAGTTTCAACAGATAAAATTCAATTAGTAATTCAAACCAAGATATCTCAGGATGATTATAAATGGATAAATTATGAAGCAAAATATATGATGGTTCAACTGAAATATCTCCCAAATTATCTCAAAAAAAAAAACAAACAAACCTGTTTTACAGTACTGTATGAAAAATTTAAAGATCTTAGTGGACTCTCTGGAAGGAAGACTATGCAAACTACTTCTGTAAAGATTTACTGCCTCAGAAACTCAAAGGGGATCGCTATGAGTCAGAATCGACTCAATGGCAGTGAATTTGGGGTTTTTTGGTTTGAGTAGACTCTCAGGTCCCTAGGAGATGCAAAAAGTTTGCACTTGACTCTGGTGGTATAGTGCCTAAGGCATTTGACTGCTAACCAGAAGGCTGGCGGTTCAAACCCACCAGCTACTCCCTGGAAGAAAGGTTGGGCAATCTACTTCTGTAGTAATACTGCCTTGGAAACTCAAGGAGGGGTTGCTATGAGTCAGATCGGACGCAACAGCAGTGATTGCATTTGTTTTTACTAACCTAAAGTTTGGTGGTCCTGTGGAAGAAAGGCCTGACAATCTGCTTCCATAAAGATTGTTGTTGTTGTTGCTGTTAGGTGCTGTTGAGTAGGCTCCAACTCATATCAACTCTATGCACAACAAAACAAAACACTGCCCAGTCCTGTGCCAGCCCCATGATCCTTGCTATACATGAGCCCATTGTTGCAACTGTGTCAATCCATCCCATTGAAGGCCTTCATTGACCCTCCACTTTACCAAGCATGATATCCTTCCCTAGGGAATGGTCCTTTTTGACAACATGACCAAAGTAGCTCAAAAAAAGTCTGGCCATTTTAGCTTTCAAGGAGTATTCCAGCTGTACTTCTTCCAGGACAGATTTGTTAGTTCTTTTGGCAACCCATGGTACTTTCAGTATTCTTCACCAACACCACAACTCAAAAGCATCAACTCTTCTTTGGTCTTCCTTATTCGCTGCCAGCTCTCATATGCATGTGAGGTGACTGAAAACACCATGGCTTGGGTTACACGCACCTTAGTCTTCAAAGAGACATCTTTGATTTTCAGCACTTTAAAGAGGTCTTCAGCAGCAGATTTACCCGGTGCAACATGTTGTCTGATGTCCTGACTGATGCTTCCATTGTGTTGATTGTGGAACTGTAATATGAAATCTTTGACAACTTCAATCTTTTCTCCATTTATTGTGATGCTGCTTACGGTACAGTTGTGAGGATTTTAATTTTCTTTATGTTGAGGTGTTATCCATACTGCAAACTGTAGTCCTTAATCTTCATCAGTATATGCTTCTAGTCATCCTCACTTTCAGCAAGCAAGGTTGTGTCTTCTGCATATCACAGGTTGTTAATGAGTCTTCCTCCAATCCTGATTCCATGTTCTTTTCCTTATAGTACAACTTCTTGGATTATTTGCTCAGCATACAGATTGAATAACTATGGTGAAAAGACACAACCCTGACTCACTCCCATCTTGATTTTAAACGATGCAGTATCCCCTTGTTCTGTTTAAATGACAGCCTCCTGGTCTATGTGCAGGTTCCTCATGAGCACAATTAAGTGTCCTGGGATTCTCGTTCTTCTCAATGTTATCCATAATTTGTTATGATCCACACAACTGAATGCCTTTGCACAGTCAATAAAACACAAGTAAAGATCTTCCTGGTATTCTTTGTTTTCAGCCAAGATTATCTGGCATCAACAATGATATCTCTCATTCCACATCCTCTTCCGAATCCACCTGGCATTTCTGGAAGTTCCCTGTCAATACACTGTTGCGACTGTTTTTAAATTATCTTCAGCAAGATTTTACTTCTGTGAGATATTAATGATACTGTTTGATAATTTGCACATTCTGTTGGGTCACCTTTCTTTGGGATGGGTACAAATATGGATCTCTTCCAGTCAGTTGGCCAGCTACCTGTCTTCCAAATCTCTTGTCATAGATGAGTGAGTGCCTTCAGCGTGGCAACTGTTTGTTGAAACACCTCAATGGGTATTCCATCAATTCCTGGAGACTTGTTCTTCATCTATTCCTTCAGTGCAGCTTCAACTTCTCCCTTCAATAACATTGGTTCTTGATCATATGCCACCTCCTGAAATAGTTTTAACATCAATTTTTTTTTTGTACAGTGACTTTGTGTATTCCTTCCATCTTCTTTTGATGCTTCCTGCATCATTCAATATTTTGTCCATAGAATCTTTCAATATTGCAACTCAAGAGTTGAATTTTTTCCTCAGTTCTTTCAGCTTGAGAAATGCCAAGCGTGTTCTTCCCTTCTGGTTTTCAAACTCCAGGTCTCTTCACATTTCATTATAGTATTTGGCTTTGTCTGCTCAAGCTGCTCTTTGAAATCTTCGGCTCAGTGCTTGTATATGGTCAGTTCTTCCATTTGCTTTAGCTACTCTCCATTCAAGGGCACGTTTCAGAGTCTCTTCTGACATCCATTGTAGTCTTTTCTTCTTTTCAGACTTCTTAATGATCTTTTGCTTTCTTCATGGATGATGTTCTTGATGTCATCCCACAATTCTTCTGGTTTTCAGTCATGGGTGTTCAATGCATCAAATCTATTCTTTAGATGGTTTCTAAATCCAAGAGAGGATCTCTGGTAGCATGTTGCCTAAGGCACCTGACTGCTAACCAGAAGGCTGGTGGTTCAGACTCACCAGTCACTTCTCAGAAGGAAGGTTGGGCAATCTACTTCCATAGTGACACTGCCTCAGGAACCCAAGGAGGGGTCGCTATGAGTCAGGGCCGACTCGACGGCACATAACAACAACAAATCCAGGAGGAGTATAATCAAGGTCATATTTTGGCTCTCATGGACTTGTTTTAATTGTCTTCAGCTTGAACTTGCATATGAGCAGTTGATAGTCTGTTCCACAGTCAGCGCCTGGCCTTGTTTTGGCTGAAGATTTTGAGCTTCTCCATCACCTCTTTTCACAGATGTACTCAATCTGATTCCTGTGTATTTCATCTGGTGAAGTCTACATCTATAGCTGCCATTTATGTTGTTGAAGAAAGGTATTTGCAATGAATAAATCAATGGTCTTGCAAAATTCTATCATGCAATCTCCAGCATCATTTCTATCACCAAGGCCATATTTTTCAACTATGGGTGATTCTTCTGTTTCCAACTTTTGCATTCCAATCACCAGTGATCATCAACACATCTTGATTGCATGCTCAGTCAATTTCAGACCACAGAAGTTGATAAACATCTTTGATTTTATTGTCTGTGGCTTTGGTGGTTGGTGTGTAAATTTGAATAATAGTAGTAGTAACTGGACTTCCTTGTGGGCATATGGATATTATCCTATCACTGACAGCACTGTACTTCAGCATAGATCTTGAAACATTCTTTGTGACAATGAATGCCATGCCATTCCTCTTCAATTTGTTATTCCCGACATAGTAGACCATATGGTTGTCTGATTCAAAATGGCCAAAACCAGTCCATTTCAACTAATACCTAGGATTTCGATCTTTATGCATTCCATTTCATTTTTGACAACTTCCAATTTTCCTAGACTCATACTCTGTAAATGTTCTGATATTAATGGATGTTTGCAGCTGTTTCTTTTCATTTTGAGTCATGCCACATCAGCAAACAGAGGTCCTGAAAGCTTTACTCCATCTACATCTTTAAGGTTGGCTTGACTCTGAAGAAGCAGCTCTTTTCTAGTCATATTCTGAGTGCCTTCCAACCTGAGAGTCTTGTCTTCTAGCACCATATCACACAATGTTTCAGGGCTATTCATAAGGTATTCACTGGCCATTTCTTTGAGAAGTGGATGACCCTTCCTTCTTCTAAGTCTTGCTTAGTCTAGAAGCTCTGCTGAAACCTGTCTACTGTGGCTAACCCTGCTGGTATTTGAAATACCAGTGGCATAGCCTCCAGCCTCAGCAAAACATGCAAGTCACCACAGTACTACAAACTAACAGATGAGTAGTGGCCATAAAGATTACATAAAAATTACAACCATGTATGTAAAGATTACAACCAAGAAAACCCTATGAAGCAGTTCCACTCTGTAACACATGGGGTTGCCATGAGTAGAAATTGACTTGGCGGCAACAGGCTTGGTGTTTCTTTGGTTTAGTGGACTCTTGCTAGTCTATAAAGACCCTGCAACGTACAAAAAATGCAAGGCATATCCTTCTAATTTTTCATATAACTCTTCTTGAAAAGATTACATATATTTTCAGAAATCCCATCTATTTTTCCTTTTAAAAGAAAATAATGATATTCAATTTTAATTCATAAAAATAAGAAATTTAAATATAATCAATTGCTTAGTAATATATATCACCTAAATGTTGACATCTTCAATTGAAATAAAAACTTTATGGGACTATATATTCTAAAAGAAAACATAATATACACATAAAAGGAACTATATTGTTTTTGTTGCTGGTTGCCACTAGTTGATTCTGACTCATGGTGACCTCAAGTGTACAGAACAGAACTAGTCTATAGAGTTTTTAAGGCTGTGATACTTCAGGAGCAGATTGCCAGGCTTGTCTACCATGGTGCCTCTAAACCAAAACCAAACCAAATCCACCACCATGGAGTTGATTCCGACTCACAGCGACCCTATAGGACAGTAGAATTGCCTCAAAGTGTGTCCAATGCTGTAAATCTTTACCGAACCTCTCTTCCACTGAAGACTGCCTCATTGTTCTTCAGTAGAAGAGAGGTTGGTGGGTTCAAACTGCCAACCTTCTGGTTAGCAGCCAAATGCCTTAACCACTGTGCTTCCAGAGCTCCTTAGGTACCTCTATAGAAAGTACATAATCTAATTAGTAATTTAAACTTTATATATATATATACATGATTCAAACAACTAAAAATTTTGTAAACTTTTTTCCAAAAGTTTTTTGAGCTAACATTTTGTCTTAACCTTAATTTATCTATCTAAAAAATACTCCCAAAATATTCCATGTGTGGCACGATTTGTTGCAAAAATTGGAAAATACTATGTATGCTTACTTCTAGGTCAAGTTGACAATGGAGATTTATTAGAGAACTCCAGTTTTTGCCTTCCCCTGAAAAACGTGACTTTGCCAAAAGCATAGGCACTGTTCTATGACCAATTCCAGCCTCAAGAACTATAAAAATAGAATCAATGTTCATTTTTATCATCTCTCCTTTGGGTACCAATTCAGTTGTTGGGGCTGTATTTTCAGCTTCATTTGGTTCTTCAAGGAACCACATTTTTAAATTCTTAGTATCCTTCTTTTCCCATAATTGTGCTATGGAAGTAGTTTCTTTCGGGATGGTTTCTTTAGTTGTATAAAGTGCTGAAGTTATAGTAATCAACGTATTTATGATAACTGGTGAAACCTAAGAGGAAGAAAATTAAATTAATAAAAAATCTACACATATCACTTTCAAAGATAATTAAAAATATATTAAATATATTTACTAAAGAATCATGGGAAATAGTGAGCTAACATTAATGTCATGAAGTAGTAGATATAATTTACTGTCTATAAAAATTTTTAAATTACCATAACTTATTTTCAATTTGTTAAAATATTGACATGATTATTCCAGATATTAAACTGATCTAGTATAATTTCAACTATACGCACTACAGGAATGTTAGATGTTGAGACGAAAAAAAGCAGTCAAACTACACTAATAAAATGTAGGACAACATTTTTATAAGATATACTTTAATAATATTTTCAACAGAAACCTTCATTGTTTTCCTTATTTAATAAAGCAAAGACTTAAGATAATATATTGCTTCTTTTAAACTATGCTGATTAAAAGAAAAAGTACACTAAAGTTGAATGATACCATTTGACCTCACCTTTAGTGTCAGGGATTTTACTGACATATCAATCACTTGTGGGTCTGTACCTATCTGAGTAGCCTGATAAAACAAGTCACAAGGCTGCAAAACCTATACGAGAGAAAAACCAGTAACTAAATTAAATATTTCTATTTAAAGACTTCCTTAATAATGCCTAATTATGTTAATCAAACTAGTCACAATAACTGTTTAAAAACAAATAATTACACATTTATTATCACTTTATTCATTACTTATACTAAATAGAAAATCTTAATACTATTAGGAAAAAATATTAATATAAAAAAATTATGTAGAAGTATTTTTTAATGTGAAAAACATAAACTTTGTATTATGTATTGTATTTTTTAGCACCTAATAAAGTATATTTTTATCATGTTATTTTTTTTCCATTTTAAAAGGCTAAAATATTACTACACAGTAAAATACAAACAAGAAGACAGTCAAAAGCAAATAGCCAAATACTCAAATAAGTCATATTGAGAAAAGCAAAAACATAACTCCACAGCAAAAACATCCAGGAACAAGAATAAAAAAAAAAAATAGTAAAACTGAAATAACATAATAACCAACTGATAGAAAGTCTTAAACTCCAGACAGAAGTTTAGGATTGACATAGTAGAAAGTCTGGATTGAAATTTGTCAAGCTAAAACTGACGTCTTACTCAAACTATTCCAACATACACATACAAGACAGACAACACTGAACAGAAATGGAAAGTATGAAAAAGAGTTTCAAAGCTCATGTAATAATAATCCAGATTAAGTTTTCAAAGTAGAGGAAAGGTTATTTAACAGAAAAGTTTGGAAAGAATGTGGGTAGATTTTATTTGATAAAGGAGTATATACTCAATCCAAAATAAATGTTATAATTAAGCAGATAATTAAAAACTAAACTTACAGTAGTGATGTTGCCTTTTCTCTTCACTGGAAGAAATGGGCATGCTCTCACTTGGAGATCTTTAATGGCAGCAGTCATTGCATCATTTTCAAGGTCACCTTTCCAACAAATTTCACACTGTGTTGTAATGACTAAGGCAGGGGCATCATTTCTTGTCATGTCAGCCACAAACACAATTTCAGGATTTTTAATCATAATGTTAATTTCCCACTTCCCTGATTCCTCTACAGGTACTAAAAGATAAGTTAAAATAAATTAATATTTTAAAGTATGTATAACTAATTACTGTTCCCATTATTTATAAATAACTTATAATTCATGGCAAAATGCCTTTTATGTCTATTTAAAAAGCAAAGTAAAAGAATCTTAGATCCCAAAGTATATCTACTGCAATTCTTTTAATAAAGACGTAAAGAAGCTGCAGCCAAAAAATACAGGAAAACATCTCTACTATTTAAAGGCCAAGTTGGAATAGAATCTTGCTTCCAACTCTGAAGCTGATGTTGTTTCTATAATACCACAATGAATGAATTAAGTAAAAAAGACAATAGGAAATTTTATGTTAAAGTAGAAATAAATAAGAAAAAGTAAAGCAAGCACTTTAAATTAAAATACTATCTTTAATTATGAAAAGGAGTAGTAAGTTCATTATTTTCCATTTGTTTTCTAGTCATCTTAATGTAGATCTCTTATTTTAACCCAATATGTATTCATACCCTTTAAAAAAATACAAACACAACATCTCAGAAAACACATTTGGATTTTCTACTTTGAAAAATAAAGACTTTACTTTATCAATGTACTTACCTTGTTCATCTAGAAGGCTAATCAAACTTAAGTGCTGATATACATTTCAATAATAATAAACATCCAGTAACTAACTAACCTTCTTCCTTAGAAGGCCATGCTTGAACACTGGTTTCTACAGCAGTGCCTGTGCTGTAGGCTTCAAGAAAGACATTTGCAACTGTCATCAGAAATTCCACACTAGCACAGATATATACTTCTTGCAAGACTACATCAGTCACCCAACCTTCTCTGACTTGCTTGTACCATACATCCATCATGTCCTTTTTGTCAAACCCAACTGTCAGTCCTATCATTCTGAAAGACAAAATGATAACAATTCCCATGTATGAGTCATCTAACAAATGACCAAACATACATACATCTTAGTTAGACCTCTTTTAACTTTCATTGACAGCAAATCAGTGTTGTGAAGTCATGTCCCCTATGAAGATCAACAAAGTTCTCCAAATAATGTACTTAAAAACTTCTAGAGAATGACTAATTCTAAATTGTTGTTGTTGTTGTTGTGTGCTGTCAAGTCGGCCCTGACTCATAGCGACCCCTCCTTGGGTTGCCGAGGCAGTTATCACTATGGAAATAGATTGCCCAACCTTCCTTCTGAGAAGTGGCTGGTGGGTTTGAATCGCCAGCCTTCTGGTTAGCAGTCAAGTGCCTTAGACACTATGCTACCAAAGCAATTATTTCAAATTTTCAGAATTTTGAATATAAGCATATTTTTCTTCTTGATGTTTTTTCATTCATTTCTATCAAAATTTGCATGGGCAAACAATGTATCAGAGAATTTTAAATACTTCAATTTAACTGGATAGCTCATTTCCATGTATTCAATTCATCTATATGCCAGTGAGTAGGGAGTAGCACACAGCTGAACCAGGTCATTTTAAATGCTGACTGAGTACCATGACTCAGTTGAACTGAAGCTTTGATGTAAGATCAACATCAAATGTAGGATGTTACCAGAAAATGAGGATGCAGCTTTGGGGCTAGGTTCTACAAAATAAATCAACTGTTTCTCTAGTAAAACCCCATAACACTGTTATAATACATACCTAGGAGTTGCCTTCTTGACATGAGGCCTTTTATCATCTAAAACACAGTTTTTTAATGAGAAGGAAGACAATGTTGAGTCATCTGTATACATTTTTAAAGTACTTATAATATTCTCCAATCTGAATTCAGCAAGTTGCAGAGAAGGATCACGAACATCTGTAAAGGAAGTCTGTGGAAGAGGAAATCAATGCAAAAATTACACAAAACTCGTCTAATGACACTCCAACACCTCAATAACAAAAAGACAAACAATCCAATTAAAAAATGGGCAGAAGACATGAATAGACACTTCACCAAGGAGGATATTCAAGCAGCCAACAAACATATGAAGAAATGCTCACGATCATTAGCTATTAGAGAGATGCAAATCAAAACAACAATGAGATACCATCTAGCTCCAGCACTAGTATCAAAGTTCAACAAGACAGAAAATAACAAATGCTGGCGAGGTTGTGGAGAGATTGGGACTCTCATACACTGCTGGTGGGACTGTAAAATGGTACAACCATTGTGGAAAGCAGTATGGCGATTCCTTCAAAAGTTGGAAATACAAATACCATTTGACCCAGCCATCCCATTACTAGGTATATAACCCTAAAGAAATGAGAGCCATAACAAGAACAGATATATGCACGCCGATGTTCATCGCAGCACTATTTACAATAGCCAAAACTTGGAAACAACCTAGGTGTCCAACAACTGAGGAATGGATAACCAAACTTTGGTACATTCACACAATGGAATACTATGCAACGCTAAAGAATAATGTAGAATCTGTAAAACACCGCATAACATGGATGAACTTGGAGGACATTATGCTGAGTGAAATAAGTCAGTCACAAAAGGACAAATATTGTATTAGTCCGTTATTGTAAAAGTTAAGGAAAGGTTTATATATTGGAAGACATTTTCTTTGTTGGTTACCAGGGGTGGGAGGGGAGGGGAGGGAATGCTGTTAGATAGACAGAGATAAATATTGATTTGGGTGAAGAGAAGGGCAATGTACCAAATGTGAGTGACCAATATGGCAGCATTGAGGATGAGAAAGACATAGAGAGGTACATGGGCAGTACAGACAACAAATATGAACCCTTATGCATATACAGTACTGAGTTGTCAGTGAAAGCAAATACGGGTATAGGGACGGATAGATAGGTGAACAAGCTAAACAATTAGGTATGTCTAAATGGAGAGTGTATCCAAGATCATATATAGGGTTGGCAGACAATGGGCCTATAAGTTCATGTGAATGATCAGAATTCCCAGGTGTATAGTAGAGCTGACAAGGGGCAAGGTTATGGTCATTGCTTGGTCACAGTCAGCTACCCAAAGGGACCGAGTAGTTGATTCTGCAGGCTTCAGACCATAGTTGCAGGGGACATCAAGCTCAATTGGCATAACATACTATACAAAACATTGTTCCACCTACTACTTTGGCGAGTAGCGACTGGGACCTTAAAAGCTAGCAAGCTGCCATCTAGATGCAACAACGGGTCTCTCCTTGTCAAGAAGAAAGAAGAAAACTAAAATTAATGGAAACAATCAGTCCTAGTGACTGGTACACCATCCGATCTGCAACCTATACAACTATGAGACCAGAAGAACTAGATGGTGCCCAGCTACCACTGCCATCCACTTGGAAGGGATGTAGGAGATCCTGCATAAAGAGGGAGAACAATGTGGAACAAAACTCAAAATCATTTGGAGGAAAAAAAAAAAAGAAGGTGGGGACCAGGTTTGCTAGTCCAATAGAGCCTGGTGTAACCACTGAGACTATGGCCCCTAGCTGCCCTTCAGGTCTGGAATTGAACCCACAACTGTGGTTTCCAGCCAAACAAAGTTCAGGCATGTGAGTTAAACATTTACCTCAAGTAGACACACGCCCTGGAGAGAACAATCATGGGAGAAGGAAGGGCTGCTTATGCACAGGGAGATAGCTCAGGGTGCAGAAGAGTATGAAGGGATGGACACTAGGAGGAGGTAACTATGGGGAGGAAGTGGGAGGGGAGCTGCTGCATTGTAAATTTTGGTCAATGACATGAGACAAAGTATATGTGAACTGCTGTATGAAAAGTGAATTTACTCTGTAAATCTTCACCCAAATCCTAATTAAAAAAAAAAAAAGAAAAAAAAAAATATATATAATCATAAAAAAAAAACTTGTCTAATGCCTATCTTAAGCTATAAACTCCTACATAATATTCTCTCTGCTTATATTATATGAAACATCAAAATTCTCTATCTCCAAAGGGTTTGCTAATAAAAGGCAAATAATAATAATAACAACTTATATTTAAAAATTTATTTCTCACATCACTGGCTATGTGAAGGATAATGCATTTAAAAGGGAAATGGTAAAAATTATAATTAGTTTAAAGCAGAAATGTCAACCATTTTCTCAAAGGAACAGATACTCTAAACTTTCTATGACATATTAACAATTACTAATTGGTACCCATTCTCTGTATCATTTTCATCAAGTGGAAACACATTTTGTCTTCCGTCCTGACTTACCTGTTCAGGACCCGGACTGTACAGCACCATAGTGAGATAGTCTGTCCTGAAACTCACATTTACTGTTGTCTTAACTGGAGAGGCACGTGAATGTATTTCTACCACAGCAGCTGTCACTACAGTTGTTCCTTGGAATAAAGTTGTTGGATTAAAAAATAAATAAATAAAATGTAGCTCATTAAAGCAGTCTTCAAGTAGATTTAACAGAATTATTAATCAAATGGGTATAGTAAAATGCTATTCAATAAAATTAAATGATTTGAAAATTCCAATGTTGAACTCAGTAACCCCCTGTCTTAGGACTCTGTACATCATAATTTGGGAGTATTAAGCACTAGATCCTTCCATTTCCTCTTGACAATACAGTTTTTGGTTATTGTTGTTGTTATCAGGTGCCGTTGAGTTGGTTTTGACTCATAGTGACGCTATGTATAAAAGAACAAAATACTGTCTGATCTTGCATCATTCTCACAATCCTTGCTATGCATGAGCCCATCATTGCAGCTATTGTGTCACTCCATCTCATTGAGGGCCTTCCCCTTTTTCACTGACGCTCCACTTTACCAAGCATGATATCCTTCTCTAGGAAGTGGTCCTTTCTGACAACACGACCAAAGTAGGTGAGACAAAGTCTGGCCATTCTCACTTCTAAGGAGCATTCTAGCTGTACCTCTTCCTAGACAGATTTATTAGTTCTTTCCAGCAGTCCATGGTATTTTCAATATTCTTCACCAACACCACAATTCAAATGCATTAATTCTTCTCCAGTCTTCCTTATTCACTGTCCAGCTTTCACATGTATATGTGGTTACTGAAAATACCATGGCTTGGGTCACTTTAGTCCTCAAAGTGACATATTTGGTCTTTAACATTTTAAAAAGGTCTTTTGCAGCAGATTTACCCAGTGCAATTCCATGTGTGATTTCTTGACTGCTGCTTCCATGCGCATTGATTATGCATCCAAGTAAAATGAAATCTCGGACATCTCAACCTTTTCTCCATTTATTCAGATGCTGCTTACTGGTCCAGTTGTGAAGATTTTTGTTTCCTTTATGTTGAGATGTAATTCATACTGAAGGCTGCAGCCTTTAATCTTCATCAGAAAGTGCTTCAAGTCCTCTTCACTTTCAGCAAGCAAGGTTGTGTCATTTGCATACTGCAGGTTGTTAATGAGTCCTCCTCCAATTCTGATGCTGTGTTCTATTTCATATAGTCTAATATCTCAGATTATTTGCTCAGCATAGAGATTGAACAAGTATGGTGAAAGGATACAATCCTGTCACATATCTTCCCTAATTTTAAGCCATGCAGTATTTCCGCATTCTCTTCATATGACTACCTCTTGATCAATGCACAGGTTCTGCCTGAGCACAATGAAGTGTTCTAGAATTTTCTTTCTTCACAATATTACCCATAATTTGTTCGGATCCTCACAGCTGAATGTCTTTGCATAGCTGATAAAATATCTTTCTGATATTCTCCACTTCCAGCTAATCCTTTTGACATCAGCAATAATATCTCACATTGCATATCTTTTTCTGAATCTGGCTTGAATTTTTCTGGCAGTTCTCTGTTGACATACTGCTGCAACCATTTTTTAATTATCTTCAGTACTATTATACTCGTGTATGATATTAATGATATTGTTTGATAGTTTCTGCATTCTGTTGGATCACTTTTCTTTGGAATGAGCATGAATGTGGATCTCTTCCAGTCAGTTGGCCAGGTAGGTGTCTTCCAAATTTCTTGGCATAGACAAGTGAGTGCTTCTAGCAATGCATCCATTTGTTAAAGTATCTCAACTGGTATTCCATCAATTTCTGGAGCCCTATTTTATACCAATTTCTTCAGTGCAGCTTGGACTTTTTCCTTCAATATCACTGGTTCTTGATAACATGCTACTTTCTGAAATGGCTGAATGCCAACGAATTCTTTTTAGTACAGTGATTCTGTGTATTCCATCCACTTTACCCTTGTTCAAGAAACAAGAAAATGTGTTTGCATGCGGAATCTTTAATTATTCAATCTGGTTGGTACTCTGTGGATTCTTTACATATGAATAGTTAACTTCAATATTTAACTTAGCACTGGGGTATTTTCTTCTTCTATTATTTCTTTAAAATTTTTTCTTTTTCATTTTCTTAGTTCTTTCTACTGAAATATTTATTATTCTGGAATTAAACCTTCTAATGCAAGGAGCTCTGGTAGCATAGTGGCTAAAGCACTTGACTGCTAACTAGAAGGCTGGCGGTTCAAACCCACCAGCCACTCCTCCGAAGGAAGGTTGGGCAATCCTACTTCCGTAGTGATACTGCCTTGGAAACCCAAGGAGGGGTCGCTATGAGTCGGGGCCAACTCGACGGCAAACAACAACAACAACAACAATGCAAAGCTCAGTCACTTAAGTTTTACCATATTTTCCATCTTTGTACTCCTTTTTCCCCCCTTCTATGTCACGGGAGATTACATAAACCATTTATTCTAACTGAGTACTAACTCATAACTCCTTATTTCATGGATTTTTATTTTTGTTTGTTTAATTCCAATAATCATTTTCTTATTTTCTAACAACTCATTCCTATCCTCAGATTCTTCTTTTTGGTAGGGGGGGGGGCAGGTAGGTAGGGTCCTGTTCTATCTTCTTCTGAAAATATGAATTAGAGTTTGTTGTTTTATTTATTCACATTCTCTTCTGTGCTCTCAATTGTTTCCATTTCTTCAGGAAACACAATTTTTCTTTCATGGTTGGTCTCATAGTTTTCTTCAATCTATTACATTAGTCTGACCATTCATATTGAACAATAAAGGACTGATTTGATTATTCTAGGTAGTAAGGATGAAGTCCTCTATAATATTGTAAAAGTAGGATTACTTCTCTGCTAGGGTTCTCCCTAACTGAAAAACTATGTAATATCTCATGATTTTGCACAACTGGGCCTTATGGATTAGGAGGTTTCACTGAGGTGCACAGAGTGTGTTAAGACAACCAACAATGCCAGAATGTGGTTGTTGTTAGGTGCCGTCAAGTTGGCTTGGACTCACACATGACACAGGTTGTGTCATCTGCATGTTGCAGGTTGTTAACGCGTCTTCCTCCAATCCTGATGCCACGTACTTCTTCAAATAGTGCAGCTTCTCAGATTACTTGCTCAGCATACAGACTGAATAAGTATGAAAGGATACAACCCTGATGCATTTTCTCGATTTTAACTACACACTATCCCCTCGTTCTGTTCAAATGACAGCCTCCTGGTCATATATGGGTTCTTCATGAGTATAATTAAGTGTTCTAGAATTCCCACTCTCCTCAATGTTATCCATAATTTGTTATGATCTCACAATCGAATGCCTCTGTATGATCAATGAAGCACTGTTCAGTCCTGCTCTAGCCTCAGTCCTTGCTATACCTGAGCCCATCATTGCAGTCACTGTGTCAGTCCACCTCATTGGGAGCCTTCCCCTTTTTCGTTGACTCTCCACCTTACCAAGTATGATATTATGATATCCTTCTCCAAGGAATGGTCCCTTCTAACAACATGACCAATGTAGGTGAGATGAAGTCTGGCCATTCTCAATTCCTAGGAGCATTCCAGCTGCATTTCTTCCAGGATAGATTTGTTTGTTCCTCTGGCAGTCTATGGCATTTCAGTATTCTTTGCCAACACCACAACTCAAAAGTATCAACTCTTTGGTCTTCCTTATTTGTTGTCCTGCTTTCACATGCATATGAGGCAATTGAAAATAGCATGGCTTAGGTTAGGCACACTTTCAGAGAGACAACCTGGCTCTTCAGCACTTTAAAGAGATCTTTCGCAGCAGATATGCCAAATGCAATATACATTGTCTGATTATTTGACTGCTACTTTCATTGGTGTTGATTATAGAACCAAGTAATATGAAATCTTTGACTACTTCAATCTTCTCGCCATTTATTGTGATGGCTGCTTACTGGTCCAGTTGTGAGGATTTTCTTTTTCTTTATGTTGAGGTGTAATCCATACAGCAGACTGCATTCTTTCATCTTCAGCAGTAAATGCTTCAAATCATCTTCACTTTCAGCAAGCAAGGTTGTGTCATCTTCATGTTGCAGATTGTTAACAAGACTTCCTCCAATCCCGATGCCATGCACTTCTTCAAATAGCGCAGCTTCTCAGATTATTTGCTCAGCATACAGACTGAATAAGTATGGTGAAAGGATACAACCTTGATGCACTCCCTTCTTGATTTTAACTATACACTATCTCCTCGTTCTGTTCAAATGACAGCCTTCTGTCTATGTATGGGTTCTTCATGAGTATAATTAAGTGTTCTAGAATTCCCATTCTCCTCAATGTTACCCATAATTTGTTATGATACACACAATCGAATGCCTCTGTATGGTCAATAAAACACAAGTAAACATCTTTCTGGTATTCTTTCCTTTCAGTCAAGATCTGTTATTAACAATACTATCCCTCGTTATATACTGAAAGGGAACTTCCAGAAATGCAAGCTGGATTCAGAAGAGGATGTAGAACAATGCCAGAATGAGGATACCCTTATTCCTGTCAAATAAAATCATCTTAGAAAGCCTAACTCCCCAAATCTTTATATAGCCTCATGCTAGGTTCCACATGTCAGACTAGATGCATCCCTTTTCTGAGTTATAGTTCCTGCCACTCTGTTCTACCTATCTTTCTATCCTCCAAATATTTGTAGAAATTCACCACCCACTAATGATCATCCTCTCTTGATACCTCTCATATTATGAAACTCATAACAGCAACATACAGTATAAGGTGGGAGGGAGTAAGAAGGAGGAAAACTGAAAATAAGGAAACAAATACTAAGGAATTTTGTTACAACAGGACTGGGAACTTCAAAGGCAAAAAAAATAACATAATGACAGACAATTCAGAGATGCCTATATAGAATCAGCTGGTTGGGGAGGGGAGATATACATATATCTTATTTTATTAAAAACTAGAGAAAGAAGGAAAGGAAAAATGTAAGGAAGGGAGGGAGGGAGGGAAGGATGCTAATTTAGGTTAAGAACATACCTCCTGAATGGTGTGAAACATTAGTAACTCCACTAGTCACACTGGACTGGTCTTTCATCACAGCAGATGGGGCACTACCACCTTCTTCATACCATATATTGCCATTCAATGTTTTAAAAATAGTTGTTATATCTTCTTGACTGAGAATGAACTGTTATAAAATAAGATTTATTTAACATTGCTAACTCATATAGTTAAAACTGGCATATGAGAAAAATAAAAGACTGTTACATTTCTATCCTCTAAAAAACTCATTTTTATATTAAAAATTTCTACTAACTATTCAGTTTTCCAAATGACCATATCACCTTTAGTACCCTGTGAATTATGCCAATACCAGCAAAGCTACAAATAATGAACTTTTTCGCTATGAATGTTTCAACTAATCTAGTAATTTTAAATCTTTAAAATGAAACTTGTTTAGATAGTTGTCTAGCTGTTTAGTGTGTTTTTGGTTAGTAAGAACTTCAATTAACAATATGTGGTGCTGTTGCTCTTAGCTGCCATCTAGTGGGCCCCTGACTCATGACAACCCTATGCAGTCAAAAACAATGCATTATATTTGTATAATGAAATAGTTCATAATATATTTTATAATTTTATTTGAACCTTATATAAGCCCTGAGAATAAGGAATATAATCTTGATTTGATAAAATATAAGCTGAAACTTAAAATGTTAAGTAACATGCTTAAATTCACACATACTTAAGAACTCAAAGAAGAAAATTCAAATCCCATGTGTTGTTAATTTAGCCTAAAATGAACAACACATAAAACTTGTCTTGACAGCAATTGTATAAAATAGACCTATGAGTTTTATATCTATATGATTAAGACAGTTTTCTTAAGTCACTTTTACCTCATTCCTAAATTTGACCCAAAAAAACTTTTTTTTAACTTAATTTTATTTCTCATTTTCATAGCCCTAGGAGGATTATTTTTATTTCACAAAATATAACTGTTTCATTTGTACTAGGTTTCCTTTGAATACATTTCAAAAGTGATTATCTAATCTAGTGTTTTAAGATTAAATTCATATGTATCTTATTCATGTTATTTATATATTGTAGGTTTCTATCTATTCTCTTACTAATATCAAGAGACTCCAAATATTTATTTTAAGAAGATACTTTCCATCTGCAGCCCTGTAAATCGAAGAGTCCATATTATCTTATTCACTAGAAGATTTTCAGATGATATTATGGTTTAAATTTTCAATATACTTTTGTTGTTGTTGTTGTTAAGTGCCATCAAGTCATCTCCAACTCATAGCGACCCTATGTACAGGAGAACGAAACACCGCCCAGTCCTGAGTCAGCTCCACGATTCTTGCTACACTTGAGCCCATCGCCACTGCCACTGTGTCAATCCACCTCGTTGAGGGCCTTCCCCTCCTTTGTCGACCCTCCACCCTACCAAGCATGACACCCTTCTCCAAGGAATGGTCCCTTCTGGCAACATGACCAAGTATGAGAGACGAAGTCTGGCCATTCTCGCCTCCAAGGAGCTGCACTTCCTCCAGGACAGACCAGTCCACAGTACTTTCAGCATTCTCCGCCAACACCACAACTCAAAAGCATCAACTTCTTCTTTGGTCTTCCTTATTCACTGTCTAGCTCTCACATGCATATTAGGCGACTGAAAATACCATGGTGCACCTTAGTCCTCAAGGAGACATCTTTGCTTTTCAGCACTTGAAAGAGGTCCTTCGCAGCTGATGTGCCTAGTGTTATACGTTGTCTGATGTCCTGACTGCTGCTTCCATTGGTGTCGATTGTAGAATCAAGCAATGTGAAGTCTTTGACAATTTCAATCTTTTCTCCATTTATTGTGATGCTGTTTATAGGTCCAGTTGTGAGGATTTTTGTTTTCTTTACATTGAGATGTAACCCATACTGCAGAGTGAGTCTTCAATTTTCATCAGTAAGTACTTCAAGTCATCCTCACATTCAGCAAGCAAAGTTGTGTCGTCAGCATATTGCAGGTTGTTAGTGATTCTCCCTCTAATCCTGATGCCACATTCTTCTTCATATAGTCCAGCTTCTCAGATTATTTGCTCAGCATACAGATTGAATTAAGTACAGCGAAAGAATACAACCCTGACACACTCACTTCTTGATTTTAAAACATGCAGTGTTCCCTTTTTCTGTTTGAACGACAGCCTCCTGGTCTATGTACAGTTTCCTCATGAGTACAATTAAGTGTTCTGGAATTCCCATTCCGGATGTTATCCACAATTTGTTATGATCCACACAATCAAGTGCTTTTGCATAATCAATAAAACACAAGTAAACATCTTGCTGGTATCCTTTACTTTGAGACAAGATCCATCTGACATCAGCAATGATATCCCTCATTCCACGTCCTCTTCTGAATCCAGCCTGCACTTCTGGAAGTTATCTGTCAACATACTGCTGCAACTGTTTTTCAATTATCTTCAGTAAGATTTTACTTGCATGCAATATGAATGATATTGTTCAATAACTTCCACATTCTGTGGGATCACCTTTCTTTGGAATGGGTACAAATATGGATCTCTTCCAGTCAGTTGGCCAGGTAGCTGTCTTCCAAATCTCTTGGCATAACCAAGTGAGTGCCTCCAGTGCAGCATCTGTTTGTTGAAACATCTCAATGGGTATTCCGTGAATCCCTGGAGCCCTGTTCTTTGCCAGTTCCTTCAGTGCAGCTTCGACTTCTTCCTTCAAGACCACCGGTTCTTGAACATAAGCCACCTCCTGAAATGGATGAAGATCAACCAGTTCCTTTTGGTACAGGGATTCTGTGTATTCCTTCCATCTTCTTTTGATGCTTCCAGCATCATTCAATATTTTGCCCACAGAACCTTTCAATACTCCAACTCAAGGCTTAAATTTTTTCCTCAGTTCTTTCAGCTTGAGAATTGCCAAGTGTGTTCTTCCCTTTTGATTTTCTAACTCCAGGTCTTTGCGCATTTCATCATAGTAACTGGCTTTGTCTGCTTGAGCTGCTCTTTGAAATCTTCTGTTCAGCTCTTTTATCTTGTCATTTCTTCCATTTGCATTAGCTACTCTTCACTCAAGGGCAAGTTTCAGAGTCTCTTCTGACATCCATTTTGGTTTTTTCTTTCTTTCTCGTATTTTTAACGATCTCTTGCTTTCTTCATGGATGATGCTCTTGATGTCATCCCACAATTCTTCTGGTTTTCGGTCATTGGTGCTCAATGCATCAAATCTATTCTTTAGATGGTCTTTAAATTCAGGAGGGATATATTCAAGGTCATATTTTTGTTCCTGTGGACTTGTTTTAATTGTCTTCAACTTCAAGTTGAACTTGCATATAAGCAGTTGATGGTCTGTTCCACAATCAGCTCCTGGCCTGGTTTTGGCTGAAGATATGGAGCTTTTCCATCACCTCTTGCCACAGATGTAGTCACTCTGATTCCTGTGTACTCCGTCTGGTGAAGTCCATGTGAATAGCCACCATTTGTGTTGTTGAAAAAAGGTGTTTGCAATGATTAAGTCGTTGGTCTCACAAAATTCTATCATGTGATCTCCAGCATTATTTCTGTCACCAAGGCCAAATTTTCCAACTACCAGTGATTCTACTTTTAGAAGTTATAATTTAGAAGTCTGAAATTTCTAAAACAACAATTTTCTCTTTTTGAATACAACTTTTATAGGTATAAATAGAAAGGGAAACTGGGGGTAAAGTGTAGGTAAAAGGATTTGTTCCTTTAGTATGTTTCCTGAATAAAAAAGCTCACAAAATCCAAAAAATCCACTGACATTGTATCATTCCAACTTAGAGGACAAAGTAGTACTACCCCATATGGTTTCAAAGACTATAAATCTTTAGAGAATCAGACTGCCACATATTTCTCCCACAGAGCTGCTGCGGGTTCAAACTGCTGACCTCTCAGTTAGCACCCTAGAACTTGAATCCCTGCACCATCAGAGTTCCTCAAGAAACCTTCCACACAGAGTATATGTTGTTGTCACTCAATGAAGCATGTGATACAGTATGACTCTAGTGCAGCCAAGAGTGAAACATGAACTTGTGGAGAGTACCATTAGAGATCCATGAAGAAATGCCAACCTATAAGGAGGTAAAGGAGCTCTGGTGGCATAATGCCTAAGGCATCTGACCGCTAATCAGAAGGTCAGTGGTTCAAACCCACCAGCCACTCCAGGAAGGAAGACTGGGCAATCCACTTCTGTAAAGATTTACCTCTTTGGAAACCCAAAGGGGGTCGCTATGAGGTGGAATCAACTCGACGGCCATGAGTTGTTTTTTTTTTTTTTTTTTTGAGGGAGGTAAAGCTCAAGAAGGTGCTGACTCATTTGTCATTTCTATGTTCAACCTTTCAACCTCTCCATTCTTCTAAGACTTTTTCTTCTTATATATACTCTCTTTCTATTATATTGTTCCCAATGTTTACAATACTATCTGTATGCTGATGACGCTCAAATTCCTATTTCTGGCCTAGCCTCTCCACTGCATTCTATATAGACAACTAATTAAATGACTATGTCTAACAGACATTTGAAACTCAAATCCAAAATTAAGTTCATGACGTCCAAACTCTGAAAATCTACTCTGCCTAGGTATTTTGTATCTCAGTGAATGAGGACCTCCACATAGTCACTCATCATTGTTTCCTTTCTTCACCTTCCCAATCCAGTTACATATCCTGTTCATATCTCCAAATTGTATCTTGAATATGCTCACTTCTCTCTGTCTCTTAACCATGACTCTATCCTAACCCATTACCATTTCTCATGTGAACTAATGAAATGCCTTTCTAAGTGATCTTGCTTTCACCTTCAATCTAACTTCCAAACAGAAGCACAATGTAATTCTCTTAACATAGATAGAATCTAGTAAGTCCCTTGCTTAAAACTCTTCAGTGTTTCCCACTGGACTTAAATGGGACTTCCTGTTGGACAAAATAAAACCCAACCTTGATATAACTATTATCTGCAAAGAACTACAGATGATCTAGCCTCTGTCATCTAGTATCCTCTCACGACAATCTAACTCAGCTTTTTTTAATCCCACCAAGCTCTCTTCTACTTCAGGACTTTTGCACTTGCTGCTTAAGCTTTTCCATGAATTAATCTAAGACTCTATCTTTCTCATCCCTATAGGTCTCAGATTAAACATTAACTAAATAGTTTCTAGGAGTCTCTGGATGATACAAATGGTTAGAGTGTTTGGCTGATTACTACGAAGTTGGAGGTAAAATCCACCCAGAGGTATCTCAAAAGAAAGGTCTGATGATCTACTTCCAAAAACTCAAAACTGAAAACTCTATGGAATAAAATTTGACTCTGATACACAAGGGGTCACCATGAATCACAGTCAACCTGACAGCAACTACATTTTACTCAGTTTCCAATTCATTAATTTATGTTGATTTGCCACCTCATTCCCCTTCCTGCTCTATCACAGTACCCCATATGTCTCTTCCACAGAATTTACCACCATGTATAACTATTGTAATTATGTGCCTGTTTACTATCTATCTACCAGGCCTTCCAACTATGGTTATCATTAACCCAGTATTACAGAGGTAAGCTCCATTAACCAAGAGACTATTTCATAGCTACTCTGCCACTATAGCTCCAATATCTAGCATTAGGCTTAGCACATAGTAAACATTCAAAGACCTGTTGAATGAAGGAATTTAGAACATTAAAATGAATCCCAAGTAAATAAACCCGCTATATTCAAATTCTGACCCAGGTGATTATCATACAACTTCTTCCCCCAAAATGTCCTACATTCCCATACAATATTTTTTTAACAACATAACAGAAATCAATAAGCATCCAAAAAGTTACCTCCATGGGCTTCAGTTGAGCATTTATATTAAAACAAGGAACTTCCTGGTACCACTCCCAGGATAAATTTCGCTCAACAACCACCTCAAGATTTAATGGCAGTAGTAAATCTAGTACTTCCCGGTATGCATCATTAATAAATCGAGACCTTTAATTAAAAACAAAATTGTTTAGAATTGTTTCACATACACTCAGAAAGTTACAAAATAGCAAAAAAAAAAAAAAAAGATCAACTTAAATTTATCATTTCATACACAAATATTTATAGCAGCATTATTCAAAATAGCCCCAAATTGGAAAAAACCCAAATGTCAATCAACTGATGAATGGATAAAAATGTGGTATATCCATATCATTGAATATTATTTCACAATAATAAGGAATGAAGTCCTACACATCTCTAACATGGATGAGACTTAGAAACATCATGCTAAGTGACAGAAGTCATTCACTAAAGACAGATATTATATGACTCTATATATATATGAAAGGGAGCTCTGGTAGCGTAGTGCCTAAGGCACTTGACTACTAACCAGAAGGCTGGCAGTTCAAACCTACCAGCCACTCCTCGGAAGGAAGATGGAGCAATCTACTTCTGTAGTGATACTGCTTCGGAAACCCAAGGAGGAGTTGGTATGAGTCAGGTCTGACTCGATGGCACATAACAACAACAACAACAACACAAATAAACTTGGGAAAAGCTTACCTGTATAGTCGCATTTCACTCAGCTTTACTGTTATCAAATCAATAACAGGTGGGGGGTTGCTCTCACTCTCTGCTATCATGTGGAATGTATTTGTCATTGTAATTAGTCCAAAATCAGCAACAAAAACATTTTCAGAAACAGGAGACTGTGGGATGACCACAACTGGGGCTTTGATGTTAATATCTAGCGCCATTCTGGAACTTCTTCGTGCCAGTTCTTTTACACCAGTAGCAGCCATTCCTGCTGCCTGAACCGTTGCTTCAGTCAAAGCTTGTTTAGCTGCTTGAAAATTGTCTATAAAAGCCTACAAATATTTAAATTAAAAAAAAAAGCATATTCCTAAAGTTATCATTAGTGAGTAAGACTTAATAAGTGTACTTTGATGTTTATGATTTAACTTCCACAAGAAAAACTTTTACTCAGTACAGCCAAGTATTCTTTATTCAAATCCTAATATTCTGCTGCAAAACACTGGAAATAAAAGATTTCCATACATCAATATGATGAAATAATAAAATTTTAGTCCCTGGACAAAAAGGAAAATGTGGTTATCAGATGTTTCACCTTTATCTATTTCCTTTATTATTTTACTTTCCCTAACATAATGGTCCCACCATTCATCTGTCAGCTTGTACTGTGGTGGGTTGCATGTTGCTGTGAGGCTGGAGGCAATACCACCAGTATTCCAAATGCCAGCACGGTCACCAAGGGTGGACAGGTTTTGATGGAGCTTCCAGACAAACAAAGACTCAGAAGAAGGAAGGGGCCATCCACTTCTCAAAGAATTGGCCAGAGAAAACCTTATGAACAACAGTGAAACACTGTCTGATATATTACCGGAAAACTCTATGAACAGCCCTGAAACACTGTCCAATATAGTGCCGGAAGATGAGCCCTTCAGTCAGAAGGCACTCAAAATATGACTGGGGAACAGCTGCCTCCTCAAAATAGAGCATACCTTAATGACATGGAAGGAGTAATGCTTTCAGGACCTCCATCTGCTGATAGGGCACAATTCAAAATAGGGAGAAACAGCTGCAAATGTCCATTAATAATCAGAATGTGGAATGTACAAAGTATGAATCTAGGAAAATTGGAAGTACTCAAAAATGAAATGGAATGCATAAAGATCAATATTCTAGGCACTGTTAAACTCAAATGGCCTGGTTTTGGTCATTTTGAATCAGACAACCATACAATTGACTATGCCAGGAATGATAAATTGAAGAGAAATGGCATGGTATTCATCATCACAAAAATTGTTTCAAGATCTATCCTGAAGTACAATGCTGTCACCGATAGGATAATACCCATATGCCTACAAGGAAGATCAGTTAATACCACCTACTATTTAAATTTACACATCAACCACCAAAGCCAAAGATGAGGAAATTGAAGGTTTTACCTGCAGTCTGAAATTGACCAACCATGCAATCAAAATATTTTGATTATTACTGGTGACTGGAGCTCTGGTAGCATAGTGGCTAAGGCACTTGACTGCTAA